TACACATTATATGTGATAGTTTATCATTACACATTATGCATATTAGTATATCATTACACATAATATATATTAGTTTATCATTACACATTATGCATATTAGTATATCATTACACGTTATATATAATAGTATGTATAATGTGTAATGATATAGTATTATATATAACGTGTAATGATATACTAGTATGTATAATGTGTAATGATATAGTAGTATATATAACGTGTAATGATATACTATTATGTATAATGTGTAATGATATACTATTATGTATAATGTGTAATGATATAGTATTATATATAACGTGTAATGATATACTAATATGTATAATGTGTAATGATATAGTATTATATATAACGTGTAATGATTTACTAATATGTATAATGTGTAATGATATAGTATTATATATAACGTGTAATGATATACTAATATGTATAATGTGTAATGATATAGTATTATATATAACGTGTAATGATATACTAATATGTATAATGTGTAATGATATAGTATTATATATAACGTGTAATGATATACTAATATGTATAATGTGTAATGATATAGTATTATATATAACGTGTAATGATATACTAATATGTATAATGTGTAATGATATAGTATTATATATAACGTGTAATGATATACTATAAGATTCAAATGTTGACAAAAAGAGAAGAGATGTTCATTATTTTCAACTACAAAACATCACAGAGTCTTTGTTCCCTGTGTGTATTTGTTTATATTTGCTATCCGGTTGCCAATTACAACCCATGTTTACATAGTCTCAATCGTGTGAAAAGCTTTCTTAAATTGTAATCCGCTTCTGTCAGATACATTTTTATTCGTACATTTTTAATTTATTGAATATAAATTAATCATCACTATCTTTTCTATATGTTAGTTGTACTTCTGTTTTTTCGGATAATTATTTCTATATCTTTTTTTTTGTTTCGACAATACTTGCTTCTGAGCGTTAAGTGAATTAAGGTCATAACCGATAACCCGATAACATTATTTGTAGCTATGCTAATAAGAAAACACTCTCGTTTATACTAATATTTACTTAAATAACCTTTGATTTTTTTTTCAATTTGTGATATTCTAGAAGGATAATTTGTATGAAGGTTTTAACAGCACGGATCTGTCCTAATGGATATAATTTTTTACTCCTAACCAAGTATTCAAACGTGAAAGTTACTGAATTGTTCCAATGGGATTTAACAATGATTCAGTGAATGTTTAGTTATCAAATATAGTTTGTTATAACTAACTTGTCCTTAGTTGTTTTCTGATGAAGGTCACATATCATACTTCAGTAATATGTTGCTCTACGTCTAACTAGTGAACAAATCTACTTTTGACCTGTATTTAGAAGTTTGCTATAGCCTGTGTATATATAAGGTCAAGTTCACAAACCTGACCGACTGACCCAACATATATATATATATATACATGTATGTTCCACCGTTATTTGTAGTTTGTAAGGTAAAATGCTGTTGGCTGGTAAAAGTTTTGATTGAAAAATAAATCTTTAAAAAAAATCTTTAGTCTGCATTTAATGCACTTCACAAACGAGATAAAACACGATTGTTACCAGTATATAGACAATCGTGTACTTCTATAGTGTATATCTATACATCTACATGTATTTAGGGACTCTAGTTTGTCACTTCCGCTTCATTTTTTGTTTGTTAATGCAATTCCGTCTTTTCGTATTGCAGAGTTATCTGCTCTTGCGAGCAGGTATTGATTGTTACGTCATTTGTTTGTGATAGTAACGTCACAATTTTTTGAGAAAACGACGTAATTTTCTCATATAAACTAATGACGTAACAATCAATACCTGCTCACAAGAGCTGATAACTCTGCAATAAGAAAAGACGCAATACCGATGTTTATGCGTCTTTTTTTCGAATCCGAAGAAAACATACATTAAAAACGCAAATGTTATTTTTGTATATGATCAACAGTAGATTACTCAGTCGATTTGTTGGATTTTTTTACATCATTTCATTAGACGTAAAAGAACATATAAAAACGCTACGCTGGTTTTGACAGACAATTTGTATTGCTTTCCATTATGTATGAAGTTTCACTCCTTAATTCTGTAACGCGCTATAATACTGTTCTAGGTTTAGGTTTTAAAATCTTTCTTGTTAACAAGATACGTCGAGTTTTGCTTTGTTTTGTTTTTGTCCACAAAACAAATTGAATCTACAAATTTTTCATTTTTTACTTTTAATCCAATATTTCTTTTTCTTTAAAAGTAATCTTATTTTACAGTCCGCTGAAAAATATCTTTAATCTGATAGTTATTCCTACTCACTTAGTAGTAACTGTGTGACCCTTATCCAATAACTTTAAATAAATAAATAAAGTTGAACCTACAATCGAATAATCTCACATGAGCAATCATTTGGATTCGGCCTGTTCATGATGTCGAATATTAATTCACCTACAGCCATTAAATGTTTCCTAACTCCCGACTCATTCGACAAACCTGCGAGGATTTAATAAACATGTTTGGTTGCCCACCATAGTCGTGGTGTCATTTGTCAATCTTTTAAGTATAACGTCACCTAACAATGCTTTGTGGTGTCATTTTCAATTGTGACGTCATGATTCATGGCAATTGTTTACCCATCGGAAGCAGACATTTTGTATTTCATGAAAAACAGTTGGTTTTCCAGATGAAATATGAACGTTATGGGAGAAAAAGGTACAAAAACTCTTGCTTGAAATGCTTGACAATGATACTTATCTAACTTTGGTTAGTTAATTTTCAAATTGTAAAGGACTCTCGGTAAGCCTCGTGTCTTTGTACGATATGAAAATTTACTAACTGGTGTAAGATAAACCTGACAACCGATCACCACTCGTTAGGGACCTCTGTGTTACTCCTTCCTAAAGGTTCCTACATCAATAGTATTAAGGCGGTGTAAACATAGTTTGTCCCCGTGTTTTTTTTATGTGGTATGGCTTGCCCTTGTGTGTTGATGATGTGGTATGGCATGCCCTTGTGTGTTGATGATGTGGTGTAGCATGTCATTGTGTGTTGGTGATGTGGTATAGCATGTCCTTGGGTGTTGATGATGTGGTATAGCATGTCCTTGTGTGTTGGTGATGTGGTATAGCATGTCCTTGTGTGTTGATGATGTGGTATATCATGTCCTTGTGTGTTGATGATGTGGTATACCATGTCCTTGTGTAGATGATGTGGTATGGCATGCCCTTGTGTGTTGATGATGTGGTATGGCATGTCCTTGTGTGTTGACGATGTGGTGTAGCATATCATTGTGTGTAGATGATGTGGTATGGCTTGCCCTTGTGTGTTGATGATGTGGTATGGCATGTCCTTGTGTGTTGATGATTTGGTATGGCATGCCCTTGTGTGTTTTTTGCTGTTGTGTGTTGGCAGTTTGGTGTTAATGTGGTATAACATGTCCTTGTGTGTTGATGATGTGGTATGGCATGTCCTTGTGTGTTGATGATGTGGTATGGTATGTCCCTGTGTGTTGAGGATGTGGTATGACATGTCCTTCTGTGTTGATGATGTGGTATGGCATGCCCTTGTGTGTTGATGATGTGGTATGGCATGTCCTTGTGTGTTGATGATGTGGTAGTTTTTGTCCGTGTGTGTTAATGTGGTATAACATGTCCTTGTGTGTTGATGATGTGGTATGGCATGTCCTTGTGTGTTGATGATGTGGTATTTTTTGTCCGTGTGTGTTAATGTGGTATGTTTTGTCCCGGTTTGTTGACATTGTGATATATTTTGCTGTTGTGTGTTGACAGTTTGGTATATTTTGCTGTTGTGTGTTGGCAGTTTGGTATATTTTGCTGTTGTGTGTTGACAGTTTGGTATATTTTGTTCTTATGCGTTGTCGATGTGATAATTTTTTGTTGGGTGTTGACGCTGTCTATTGTCACTGATAAAAAGTACCTATATTGTTTCTGAGGTTAAAAAAACCCTGAAACAGTAAACAATAGAGGCGTTGATTTCATGGCAATACCCTGTATGTCAATATAATTATATGGACTAAGGTTGGCAAAGTAGAGCAGGAGATCATGGGGGCCGATCAGCGAGGAATGTCCCCGATGTGTCAGTTGTTGTTATTTTGAAGACACGTACATCTACATTTAATATTTGTATACATTTTCGTTTCCTGTGTCCTAGAAAACCTATAATATTACCACTTAAAAAGGGTTTTTTGTTCCTTTGTTTCATAAATTGCCCACGAAAACCGATTTTTACACTTTGTAACTCATAGTTTTGCAATAGGCGATTTTTACCGGGATAAATGTATTTACTTTAAATAGAAAGGGCTAAGAATGGTTGGTATCAAATCGTTAATATGGATATACCATATTAAGGTTAACATAACAGTGTCTTTCTTTTTGCCGGGACGACATTGTGGTAATAGTAAAATGGGTGGGAAATGTGAAAATTGATTGTTTCTTTCTTTCGCAATTTCGAGAGACCCATACAAGTGGAATAGATTGTCAGTATGCATCAATATAACATACAATGCAATATGTATGTAGGTCACATAGTTCTAAATTAATAAAACGCCAACAACATTAACATATATTTCAATATGTACTTGACAACAGACTGGCATTTAGATGTAAAATGATCTGGCCCTCATTTACATATTATGTCATACGCTATTGGCCCGGTTAACAACGTCAAGCCATCTAACATAAAACACCTACACTCAACAATTCAGTGTTTGTATCTATAACCAGGAAGGACGAACCAAGGGCAAAAAAAAAACCAGAACAAGGAGAGTCCAAGTACCCTCCGACTTTCAGAATTAATACACCAGTAAATTCATATTTTTTTTTTATTATTAACAAATGACATCAATATAATTACAATAAAACGTACTTATAAGAGCGCAACACACCTACACTCCTAAAATATAAATTAATTGCGAAAAAAATGTCAAAAATTAGAATTCAATATCCGCGTGTAGAGGCAAAAAAAATAGAAACGAAGAAGACGTAAAAAATACAAAAGGGAAAAGTATTTATAAACCTAAAATATATAAGTTAAACCAAGTACCCAGGTAGAATCGTTTCACAGCACACTTGTGGTACCAGTCATGCTGTCTCCTGTCGGTATGAAGAGAAGCATACCTCTCACCTGCGATCTAACACAGCTTTCTATCTTGAAACATTTCAAGCACTGGAAGTATCTGCTCGTGGTAATGACCATACGATATATCAACGATTCAAACCCATCTTCGCCAGCCAAGTGTTCTTGAAAAAGGGGAAGGCACAGGAGATATTTTGTTGAAATTAGCACGCAGGCGTTGAATATTTATCAATTTTTAGTAATGACGACGATAGTAGAAGGATATATAGCACTGCCTGGTTTATTGACACAATCTCTCCCACCACCACAGCGACAATGTTTAGATTTATACGTGACTTTGTAGTCGTTTCAACTTCAGAATAGGTTGCTTACGTTATTTTTTAAACTGGTACCAACATTAATGCAGGTCGTTAACGTGATTTTGTTTCCTGATATCAATCTGAATTTTGAAAAATAAAAATAAATTATACTGGTTGTTACCATTTTCTAACTTAGTTAGTGAAGAGTCACTTCAGGTATTCCGGTTCGACACATACTGAAGTACAGATTATATAACCTTGATTAAGATGGATATTACAGTATTCATGTTATGATTATTTTGCCAAATCAGAGAGGTACTGCTCAAGCACCAAAGGGAGATTGCGATAGACGTCCATCCACTGGATCCATTAACAATCCTGCTTTGTGTCTAGTAGACGTCGTAACTGTGCACTGTCAGAACTGGCTGTGTCCTGCTCCCTCGATGTCATGTACACCTCATTGTGGCGTTTCTGAAATTGAAAATGTGTAAACATGTTAGATTTGAAACACAGAAGTGGTTTTTTTAAACTCCTCTCTTTAGACAATATGCTTAGCGTACCAATTTTCATCTTTAATAAAAAATATTATTATAACAGAAAATGCTCTGCTCATACTTATTATGACGTTACAAATTTAAGTTAGTGTGAATATTTAAGTAGTTTCATAGCCAAAAGGTTAGATTAGAAGGTTATTTAGGTAATATTTCTTCCTAAAAATTGGTAATTATTTAAGAAATAATGTTTGTGCATGTATTATGGTGGAATAAAACGATGGTGTAAAATTGTTGGAAAGTAATTAATGACAGCCATTTCGAATCCCTAGTTACATTGTCCACTATAATATACAAACAGGTATTGATTATATCTATTTACCAAGTAAAATATAACGAAAGTTATATATTTTCATTTTCAATCACCAGACGATAATCAAACACTGACGCCATGCTTTATACCATATATTTATTTCAATTAATAATAATAATATACAACATTTATATAGCGCCCTATATAATTTGTAAAATTACTCTAAAGCGCTTTACAACATATGGATAATAGCAATAGTTATAATTGTGAAACAAAAATGGGTTACAATCACCATTATACATTAAACAAGAAGATAATCATCTCAATATGCACATAAATGAATAAATAAAGGGTGGTTTGTAAATGACGTCTGTGCAAAGAGACTAAAATGCAGACGTGAAGAGGTGAGTTTTGATGTCCTTCTTTACTTTGACCAGGGTATTTGACCTTCTAATAGCAGATGGTAAGCTATTTCAAAACGTGGCCGAAACCCTTCCAAAGCACCGGTTTCCATAGGTCACAGTACGAGATTTTGGGACACACAACAATGATTCTGTCTCCGACGTACTGCAGTGCTCTGGACCCTCTGCAGACGACTAGTTAGTTTGTCAGATATACCACAGAACAGGGCGTTACCATAATTCAACTGAGAGGTAACAAGGAAATGCACCAACATTTTGCATGCATCTGCAGTTATAAACGGCCGGATACAGTCGATGTTCCTGATCTGTTAGTAACAGGATTTGGCAAAAGCGTTCACTTGTTTCTCCATGTTCTGTCAGCTATCAACAAATCTATCAATCTAACGTCATCGTCAACGTATAAAATTACCACTTGACAGATGTACAAATACTATTTCAAGTCACCTTCGCGGTAAGCGTGGCAGAACATTCTAATTGAGCCTCAGAGGTTTCAATTTAATCTAGAGGCTTGCTTGTTAAAATGTGCGTGTGAGGTGTTTGGCAGAGCGTTGCATGTGTATGGTCTTTTGGAAAATAATCCATGCAAGCGCTTGGCTTATCGTCCAATGATACATGGATAGTAACCAATGGAAAGTGTCGTTACATTGAAGACGTGGTAGAACAAATAACAAACGTACCTTTTCTAAACTATTTCCACAGCAGACAACTTGCTTGATATTCTCAGGTAGACAGGGACATATTCTGTCCCCAAAACTGAACAAGTAACGACTGTCCGAATCCTCCATCTTCTGCCGACCTGTATAACACAGTAATCGTTCGGGTAACAGATTTGAAAATAAAACTTGATACAAGTTCAAAGAGATTGACACTTGCTTTGAGCGTTTTGTTTTCGCAAAGGCGCCGCATTCTCTCAATAGGACTTTAATTCACGCACAGACTTACCCAGAAAAAAGCTTGCTACAGCGGCTACCAGTAATAGACATAAAAGTCCCACGGCGTCAAACCACAAATAAGACAGTGAATAAAAAGCATCCAAACCATCCGGTCTACAACAGGTCAGAGAAACGATTGGTTAACATGTCAATTATGTCTCTTATCATCACAGGAAAATAGAAGACTTGTCTCGGTGTTACATGAAACATTGTTTAGTGGAGACCCTAAGCACGTGTGCAAAAACTTCCAGCACAGTATCCACATGCCTTCAATAGGTATACTTGGCACACGAACCGAACATATGACGTTCGACCTGTGGACAATAAGGCGGGAGAAAATGGTGCTTCACGTGTTCTAGCGAATGTGCATTTTACAAAACTGTAAAGATACATGGAATAGAATAGTCATAAAAGCATCAACAGATAAAAGCATCAACAGTATTTGAAATTTAAGGCCCCAACCACTTCTAATGTTATGCAAAATAAAAATGGCCGCCTTTTAGCTGAATTTTAGTGATAATCACAAAAATTATGAACCATCCCTGTATGTACATTCTAAACATTCTACAATTTATCACTTGATTGAATGGATTAGCTGCCGTATTGTTAGACTCTAATCTGACGGGGCCCCTACAGTAAATAAGTTCGTTATTGTCAATTCCTGATTATAATATTACCATGATTATAATATTACCATGATTATGTTATTACCATGATTTTAATATTACCATGATTAATATTTTTTTGGTGTGTGTCAACGGAACAAAATTGACAGAACAGCACTCCAACAATCTTTGTCACTTGAACGATTCATTCAAAGCAGTTCTTTGTGTGACTGTTAAGCCTCACCCTCACACAATATTTGATGCTGATGGTGTTAAAATTCAGCAGATCAGCCTAAATATATAGTGAATACGTTTTTTCAGGGAGAGGGGGAATGTTCTCTATGTGTATAAATTGAAATATTATATTAGTAGTAATATGATAAATACTACAAAGCAGTGTAAGTTGTATAACAAAATTAGAATTATTAAGAAAAGAAAAAAAAACTATATATACTTATGCTTCCTACGTCGTTACTGCTCTAGATAAATAAAAGTTAATGTGTATATATAGAAAGGTATGAAGTCAAAAACAAATTTCATTAATGTTAATATTAATCAATGTTAATGTTTCAAAAAGGAACATGAGAAACACACTGGTGATTGTACCTATAACATACATGTAATACATAAGGTATACCGTTTGTCAACTTGATATTAGAGGGCTTCAACTCTGATAAATGTGCTACACACACTTCGTGTTACTATTGCTTCCCCCGAAGAATTATATTATATTCTCCCACACCTGACAGATTTATCTCCCGTTTTGCCGGTGGTAGATTTATCTGTCTCCGCCCTAGGGTTGAGACGGGGGGATTCCCCTATTCATAACAATGGCATGACGTCACTTCAACAATACAATGACGTCACGTCAACAATCCATCAACAAATTGCCTGTATGTGTTTTGGGTCCATGTTTACCTTTATTTCACATTAAAATACTGTTAGATATGGACAAAAAATCTTAGTCCGAGGGTTGAGATTTCTCTATCTTACACAACCAGTAGCGATAGATTTTATTAGTAACATAATTCTTCGGTTGTAATTTTAAGTTGCGCCATGTCTATCTACCTAAAACACCAGATATAGAGAGAAGATTCGGGACCTGAACTTCACAGACAAATTTCAATCTAGGTTACCGTTCACTTGACTTTAAACTTTAGGCGATAGATAGATCAATTAACGTGTTACAACTATCAATCCTAGCATGGAAGAGGATTACCTGTGTGGATGGTCTAGTAATAGTATTTCTATTTCTACTTCAGGTGATGTAGACTATCCAGCTGTGCAGTTTAATACTCAGTCTGTTGCTATGTGCAATATATGTGGTGTAATATTAATATTATACTGACCTTCAACCTTAAGTGTCCCCAAACCATAACCTCCATCCCTCAATTCCAGATTGAGGGCGACTTCAATTCCACAAGTCCAGATTGAGGACGACCTCAATCCCACAAGTCCAGATTGAGGACGACCTCAATCCCCACAATGCCTCATAATACTTACTCTCGTATAAGCATGTGGAAAACGTCTTGTAAACATATATGGCTACGCTTTAGAATATTGAGCAAAAAACATGAAGAAATTGATTTGAATCGCTAGTATAGCCACTCACTAACGTACTCTCCCCTAAGCATATATGTAAATTAATAAACGGACTTTACTGAATGCTTGTAGGATGACGTGACTTACCTGTTAATGACATCATTAATAACTGGTGCTGTGACGTTGACTAATGTAATGTTCACACACTGGTCAGTAGGGGCGAACTGCAGGGCTGGATGGTACTTCACGTTGAAGGCACTGCCCATGTTTATCCAAAACATCAAACACCCGCTCACTACTCCTCCAAGCATCACACTCTGGAATTCCATATTTTGGATGTTTGAAAATAAGCACCAGACAGCCAGATATAAAGCACCCATCAGATTGGTATGACGCAGTATTATTAAAGTTATGACACTATAAACATCGTGCTGAAATTATTATGCAAGTTGCCCCGAGATATGTTTCCGTTAAAAATATTCTGAATCTTTGTAATGTTTTAACATTTTTGTACTATTATTTGTAACTTTTGTTGTTAGTTTGTCATGGATCCACGAGATCATTCATTACTGTTTACGAAATCACAACATGAAAATGAAAGTAATGAAGCAATTCATCTCGGATCGTGGACAACATACAAACAGCCAAGCAATGGGCAACACATTACAATTTAACCGCCCAGAGAACGAACCTGAGCAGAAGTTTGATTCTGCGCGAAATGTCCGAGGAGAGGATGATTTTATTACAGCAGAATTTTATATATCGGATATATAATAATTTAAAAATACTTTTCCTGGTATTAGATAGTGAACTAGACAAAGATATTCAGTATTTCTGTATGACCCATGTAATTTGCACATACATATTACGTTTTACAGTCGATCTAACCACGACTAAAAATTATCTGACCGTATACAAAATATCAGAGACTTGTGCTTGTTATGTACAAAGCGTGCCTTGTCACAAAAATAAATAAATAAATGAATGTCTAACAACATGTATGATAAATTCAACGAATTAAAGGCTTGCAAGCCAATCAATCCGAAAAAGAAACTGATTTTATTACGAAAACAATATTAACTGGGAAAATAGTATGTCACAATGTGCAGTGTTCAACGTGAGTTCTGTTTAGTGTTTACTTTGGCATGGTATTTTTGATTGACATACATAATGTCCTGAGATAATTGTATGGAGGTTTGTCAAGGGGATATAACTAGATTGTATAAAATGGAGTATGGTCACGGGATGATACCTTGATTGTATGGAATGGAGCATGATCAAGGGAAGACAACTTGATTGTATGAAATGGAGCATGGTCAAAGGGAGATAACTTGATTGTATGGAACGGAGTGTGGTCAAAGGGAGATAACTTGATTGCACCTATGGAATGGAGTGTGGTCAAGGGGAGATAACATAAACATTCTTTGACATATGTATATAGTAAGGTAACATGAATCTGATATTACTTACGAGTTGGGTCGCCGATGGGAAAAATATGGAAAACAGAAAAATGCCAGTAACGGGAACGCCGAAAACGGACATCAAACTGTTCGCTATCTGTTAAAGAATCAGAACTTATTGATTACAGGTGTTAAATACATTCGTGCTGGCAAATTTCCATTGATTCATTCACAATGCGATAGTGGTTGAATATTAGTTGTAACAATTTTGGTATATTTAGGGACGAGGTTACGATAGTTTATATTTTCAGTTTGATTGCGATGCTCTAAACAAACTGTTGATAGCCAATACCTGAATGGGGTTTTTTTCAATCAGAAACTGTTCGTTTGTAGAATACTCACCTTGTTCCCACAAAAAGGTTGATTCACACATTTGGTACAACAGTTTTGTTTAAGATGAGTCGTGGTTTAAAAACCACTCACAGAAAATAAAGCAGATAATTTTTAACCTAAATAAAAGGACTGGAAAGCAGTTCATAACATTTATGCACCACATACTCTCTAAGATTCACTGCTGCATATCCTGGAACATGTTTGTGAATCACTGGAAATCATAAAAAACTTTTTACATACAACAAGTATTAAAACGCTACTCGTCTTTATAAATATACTTCATGTATTTTTTTGTGTATTTTTTGCAAATCAATTTATAGTACTTATTAAACAACTTCATCAAAATTAGATCTTCGCATCGCTCCCGTTTACTGGCATGTGTGCCCACGCGATATATCAGTTAACAGGGTAGACGAAGACCTAATTATAACTAGATTGGTACTTATGTACATTATTTTCAATGTATATATATAAGTTCAATCCTGGGGAAAACGTGTGTATCGCTTAGTTATGGCCGACTAAAATTTAAAAAGGCTAACACAGTTAATTTTCATTAACGTTTTAAAACATTGTAACCAACAAAATATGACGTAGCGTAAACAATAATATAAGGTGAGGTAATAACGTTATCAAAATGTATTATTATTATATTATTGGTTAAATCACGTCATAAACAGTATATTTATAACTGTAAGTTTAACTGGAACATGATGAAAATGTATACACACATAACAACGGCAGTACACAAAATATCAATTGATATGCACTATATGTACATGTACATAAGCCATATACTTGCATACTTGAAGATTACGTGTAAATCAGAAGCATGCCGCGTTTAGTATATATATCCGTAAAGGAATTTGTTATTCTCATATAATACTTATAATATCAACAGTATCGTTCATGATTATTATTAATTTAATCACATATTTATGCCTGAATTTCAAATAATAAATAATGTTTGTAAAATGTATGTCAATGCCCGAAAATGCCCAGCATCATTTTCCCTGGTCATTATTTATTTAATTATATATATCTTATAACACCACGTACCGCAGACAGTGTAACGAACAACAGCATACAACTGACATAAAATATTGGTATTGTGTATAACATGATTATATAATTTAATCAGTAAAGTATGATATTACTGTATGGGAAATTATTTTGAATACCGTACCGGAGCTTAGCTTAAATACTCTATAGGAAGTCACATTGAATACTGTATAGGAACGTACCTTGAATACTGTATAGGAACTTACATTAAATACCATACAGAAACTTACCTTGAATACTGTATAGGAAGTCACATTAAATACCATACAGAAACTTACCTTGAATACTGTATAGGAAGTCACATTAAATACCATACAGAAACTTACCTTGAATACTGTATAGGAAGTCACATTAAATACCATACAGAAACTTACCTTGAATACTGTATAGGAAGTCACATTAAATACCATACAGAAACTTACCTTGAATACTGTATAGGAAGTCACATTAAATACCATACAGAAACTTACCTTGAATACTGTATAGGAAGTCACATTAAATACCATACAGAAACTTACCTTGAATACTGTATAGGAAGTCACATTAAATACCATACAGAAACTTACCTTGAATACTGTATAGGAAGTCACATTAAATACCATACAGAAACTTACCTTGAATACTGTATAGGAAGTCACATTAAATACCATACAGAAACTTACCTTGAATACTGTATAGGAAGTCACATTAAATACCATACAGAAACTTACCTTGAATACTGTATAGGAAGTCACATTAAATACCATACAGAAACTTACCTTGAATACTGTATAGGAAGTCACATTAAATACCATACAGAAACTTACCTTGAATACTGTATAGGAAGTCACATTAAATACCATACAGAAACTTACCTTGAATACTGTATAGGAAGTCACATTAAATACCATACAGAAACTTACCTTGAATACTGTATAGGAAGTCACATTAAATACCATACAGAAACTTACCTTGAATACTGTATAGGAAGTCACATTAAATACCATACAGAAACTTACCTTGAATACTGTATAGGAAGTCACATTAAATACCATACAGAAACTTACCTTGAATACTGTATAGGAAGTCACATTAAATACCATACAGAAACTTACCTTGAATACTGTATAGGAAGTCACATTAAATACCATACAGAAACTTACCTTGAATACTGTATAGGAAGTCACATTAAATACCATACAGAAACTTACCTTGAATACTGTATAGGAAGTCACATTAAATACCATACAGAAACTTACCTTGAATACTGTATAGGAAGTCACATTAAATACCATACAGAAACTTACCTTGAATACTGTATAGGAAGTCACATTAAATACCATACAGAAACTTACCTTGAATACTGTATAGGAAGTCACATTAAATACCATACAGAAACTTACCTTGAATACTGTATAGGAAGTCACATTAAATACCATACAGAAACTTACCTTGAATACTGTATAGGAAGTCACATTAAATACCATACAGAAACTTACCTTGAATACTGTATAGGAAGTCACATTAAATACCATACAGAAACTTACCTTGAATACTGTATAGGAAGTCACATTAAATACCATACAGAAACTTACCTTGAATACTGTATAGGAAGTCACATTAAATACCATACAGAAACTTACCTTGAATACTGTATAGGAAGTCACATTAAATACCATACAGAAACTTACCTTGAATACTGTATAGGAAGTCACATTAAATACCATACAGAAACTTACCTTGAATACTGTATAGGAAGTCACATTAAATACCATACAGAAACTTACCTTGAATACTGTATAGGAAGTCACATTAAATACCATACAGAAACTTACCTTGAATACTGTATAGGAAGTCACATTAAATACCATACAGAAACTTACCTTGAATACTGTATAGGAAGTCACATTAAATACCATACAGAAACTTACCTTGAATACTGTATAGGAAGTCACATTAAATACCATACAGAAACTTACCTTGAATACTGTATAGGAAGTCACATTAAATACCATACAGAAACTTACCTTGAATACTGTATAGGAAGTCACATTAAATACCATACAGAAACTTACCTTGAATACTGTATAGGAAGTCACATTAAATACCATACAGAAACTTACCTTGAATACTGTATAGGAAGTCACATTAAATACCATACAGAAACTTACCTTGAATACTGTACCGGAACTTAGCATAAATACAATACAGAAACTTACATTGAATAGTGTATAGAAACTTACCCTGTGAATATTGTATAGGGGCTTAGCTTAAATACTTGGTTTGTTAGTGTTTTACGTCCCATTAATAGCTAAGGGACATTTCAGGACGTGCCAGGTTTTGTTGGTGGAGAAAAACCAGAATTCCCGGATGAAAACCACCGACCTACGGACAGTACCTGGCGACTGCCCCACGTAGGCCTCAAACCCGCGACCCAGTGGTGGAGGGCTAATGGTAGCAGAATGTGAGACGCCTTAACCACTTGTCCACCGCGGCCCCAGCTTCAATTCTCTATAGGAACTTGCATTAAATACTGTATAGGAAGGTGCATGTCCATTGATTAACTAGAGGAACTTACATTATATACTGTATTGAAACTTACCTTGAAAACTGACCCTGGCAACTCTGCTGCCAGGAATGAAATTAGTATCCCAACTACGCCGTACAGTACAACTGTAGAGAAAATTGCAATATATTAAATTGTAAGTGTGAATGTTATTACTAAGAGTGATAGAAATAACTCAATGAAATCGGTTGGATTATGACATCGTCTGTATGACATCTAGCAACTGGTAACCGTAATAAAGATTAAACTGGATAATATCACAAACGCATGACAAGGTTAACCCCAATAGCTATAACATACGTGTGGTGTTAAACTTACGCCATTTTTTGTATTTGTTCAGGGTTTTATGTCTACCATGATGACACTCGGGTATTTTTTGGGATTCAACATTATTTTAGTTAGTTGTATATATCTTCGAAAGTTGATTTTGGTGTAATAAATAATAACTGTTTACAAACTCTGGGAATTGAGTGTAAACTTTTTCAATAGCAGTTTTATACAGTTCCTTATTTGAAAAGAGGGTTAACTTCTAGGTTATTTACTCTGACGTTGACGAGGGGATTTCTGAAGAACACCAGTCATATATGTACAGTAAGAACGTTAAATCCTGAAATGTTTCCCTCCCGTTTATACCCTCGATATCAATCAGAACCTTTATTAAACTGCTCCACTGCTTCAGCATTCTTACCTGAAATTCTTGACAGGCGGGTGACGGCTGCGTCCGACAAACGAGGGAAGTGAGGTTTGATGAAGTCCCCGTGCGTTGTGGAAGACATACTTGCTAAACTTGAGGAAACACTACTGCAAAACAAAACTCGATTAGTGAAAAACAAATGACAACGGTACAGAGAGACTAATCGCCATGAAAACAATAGGAACACTAAATGATCAGATACAACACAGCACCTGATTGACATAGAAACATCAGTTAATGTCATACAAGAGAAAAAGTCTTAGAACGCAGGTCAAGGGATCAAAACCAATATAGATTTATAATAATATAAAATGTAGCGACGTGATAAGCAGCCTGATCAACATACAAGCAAGGCAAATGCACTTGCAGCCTGACAGACACAGAAACATCACTATAAGACATACAGTTTGAATTTAATGGAATATAAGGGAATTTAGGATTTGGGACGAATTGAACGCATGTAAAAGTATTTTTCGTATATTTCGCCCGAGTCGATTAAAATCTATATAACTATTACCCGAGTCTAGTTTTGAAAACCTCAACGGTTAAGGTTGCCTTATTGTACTGGCATGTGGATTGGTTTATATAAAAAGCAGATTTAAGGTGAAAAGCAAAACAGATTTGGGTTGTAAAAATGATAAGTGTTTCCTTAATATATACACATGAAACTTTGTCCATTACGTAAATTTAGTGTTATTGACATGTACCATCCTGCAGGTTTTTTTAAGTTGTTTGATGCGTAAAGAAGATGTAAATTACTACCAATGTAAGAACTATAACGTTCATTTTATTTCAGCTATTTAAGGTAATGTAATGTTTATTTTCATTTTATGTACATGTATATTGATATATATGTGTATCACTATGTACGATACTTTAGCACTAACGACTGGTTGTATATAAATGTTGATGTAAGTAATAAATAGGATTCAGTATTTTGTATGATCAATAATTCAACACATATTCTGTGTCAGCTTGTATCTATCGTAAACAGATCTGTATACACTCTCCTACCAATACGGACTTTTGTTGGTTGACAACAGTGCTATTGGAGGATATACTATTAGTATATCTTATTTGCAATTACTATTATAATTACTATCACAACATAATATAATTACTATCACAACATAATGTAATTAGCATTACAAGCTAGTATAAACACTGTATTAAACTTAGTGTAACCACATTTTCACCCCAATATAATTATCATATAACAACAGAATATGTCATGGCACGAAAATTATATGATTATCTGAAGAGAGAAATAATGCACCAAATATAACAATTGTTTAATTGCTTTTGTCCAGTAGGCTTACCCGCACTGAGGTAACACATTTTGTTATAGATTCTCTCTTTGATTCATGATGAAAAACAGTTGTTGTAGGTCTGGTGGTATATATGCAGATCAACGTCCCAATACCTGGTTTGGAACGGGAGAGATGAAACGACAGTAATGAATACAAAATGGCGATATAACACTCCACATTAGCTACAAACCTTAAAGTGGCGGCTGTGACGGCGGCCAGAAACATCCCAGACATACCCGGATAATCTTTAAATATCTCCACCACCATGTAGGGTAGTAACTATAACGAAACAATAGGTTACACAATAACTGGGACCGCTAATAGTATCTATATTACTTACCGGAACATGTACATTTGTTAAACTATTATATTTCTCGTCCGTATAGTCTCTCGCGCTAATTTAATTAATGATAAACGCCGTTTAAGTAATTTAGCAACAACTTTATATCCTTTACATTTATAAATCACTTCTAGAATTCGAAATTGTAATTTTAGTTTTTCATACATTTGGCGTATTACATCGGTTATGTGAACGATATCATGTTCATGGTTTTCACTTTATGTGTGCTTTATGTAGCAATGAAACATGCGCGTGCAGTTATTCGTTTAGAAGTAATTACATGTGTGAGTGTACTATGCTGTACTATACTAAGAAGATGAAAAATGTTGGAGAAATGATCAACTACGGTCGCTTTGGCCTAAATGATTTTTTCTCGATATTTTTCGAGTCATAATATCACTACAATATACAAACATGAGTTGATTACATTTATTCTGCAAACCAGTGCCTATTTGACATAGATGATCCAGTAATTAGAATTAAGTTGGCCTGTGACGCATGCAAATATTTTTCACGTTAAACTTCATTTTCGTGTTACCAACAAGCAGCGCAAAACTGATATACTAATGGCTGAACACTGCAGCCTTCTGATGTATTAATGGCTGGACACTGCTGCAGCCGTCTGATATACTAATGGCTGGACACTGCAGCCTTCTGATATACTAATGGCTGAACACTGCTGCAGCCTTCTGATATACTAATGGCTGGACACTGCAGCCTTCTGATATACTAATGGCTGGACACTGCAGCCTTCTGATATACTAATGGCAAGACACTGCAGCCTTCTTTATAAGGGCGGGAACGATTAGATAATCACGTAAGCACATGCTCTAACTTGCGATATAGGAAAGAAGTGTGATGGAGCAGACAGGGTTTGATTGAAATTAAACATATCCAAGTCTACGAATTAATGTTCAATAATACATTGTTACCAACCAATGAAAATTGACGTTACATCGCCTACGTGGTGAGTTGTTCAATGAATCTTTGCGGCATTTCTAACTATTATCGGCTTACCTGGTTGGGGTTGGACAGCTGTTTGGACTGGAGTGGATCACAGCCCTTTGCTGTGAAGTAGGCGTACGCCACCAACCCTACGCCACATGCGAGACTAACCGACAGCAGGAAGCCGGGACCAGACACCAGGTACACGCTTGGAATACATGAGAAATGATGTTGAGGAAATCCAGTCAAATAATAATATAATTCAAATGAAATACATATTAAGGACATAAATGAAATAAGTAATTACTACAAATTAACCAACAACACATACTAAATATTTCTAGTCTATTCACAATTTAAAAATATGATAAATTCATTTTAATTTTTGATAAAGTCAAACCAAACGCTGATAGTTTGGCTGTAATGCGATAGCAGTAGGTATAACAACTTACATTGTCGCTTCTCGTTGTGTCTGACAGGAATTCATACGCTGAACTGCACTTTGCTTTATCGCATTGAAAAAGAATTTAAATGTTCCACCAATGACGAAGCTCCACAGGGTGTACTGGACAAGAGGGTCAGGGTCAAAGCTTTAATATAAAACATAAAGGTCAAGGTCGTGAAAAACAGGTCTTTCTGAAGTGTATAATGTCTAATAATGATGTACACAAGAGATATACTCACAACATCAGATAAACAATAATAGAATTATTACAAAATGTTACTTGACTGTTAAGTGGAGATACCTCCGACACAATTATATAGTTGTCAATAAGAAAGACGTAGATTCGGTTACGCCAAACGCGTATGCATTCTAAGTTACTATAAATGACCGAAACGACGATTAAATCGACAACTTGATTCGTATACACTTTGGGTAATACCTGGGCCTAAATGCGTGAGATTATATGAGCCCCCTCATCTCGATTAAGAGCTAGCACGCCGGGGCGTATCCAGATGGCTTCTTTTTATTTGCTGATTGAACATGCTCCCTGTCCAACACTGTGGCGATATCCCAGTCAATAATATGGTTTTGTTTTGTTGTGGTTGTTTTTGTGATTGCCGATTTATTGATTTGGGACTAGTACTCATTGCTTTTCCCCTTTGGTTCCCGTATCTTTCTGGTGTTTATCAACTCGTATCCCAAATCTCCTACCAGTTTCTCCGATATACGATGCGTCGCAGTTAATCGCATCCAATTTTGTTCACGCATTCTGCAACGTTTACATTCTTCAGGTACTTTATCCTGTAAGTGTGCAAGGATATTACGGAGCGTCTTGCTGGATTTCATTGCTGTTGCTGTACCATGGCCGCGATATATTCTCTGGATGATTTCAGATAAACCCTTCATGTAGGAGATGATCCCATTGCCTTTCATTTTGTTTTCCTTGCCAAATTGATGTGATTTTGCTCTTGTATATTGTTCTGCTTTTTCTGTAACATTTGGTGCATTTGATGTTCAGATATTGGTGTTAAACTAGGGCATCGTGGCGTTGAGTTCTTCTCCACATATGGATTTGATGCTGTATGTGGAATATACGTTGCTGGTATGAGTGGTCAAATGCTTCTATTATCCTTTCTTCATTGTCTCTAATATGTCGTCAACAAGACTCTAGAACTTCTAGGACCAGGTATTAAACGAAGCGTAGCCGAATCAATTTAATCAGTAAGATCGTAATTATATACCCACTGGGTGTACATGCGTTGTACCGGTCACTTGCCTGACAAAGGTGACACAGCACATTATTTCTAGTCAATCGAAAATTCACAAATAAGCATTTCCTGGTTGTGCTAGGCGATGAACCTTTGCACAATTGTTATTTTCCCAACCTGACGACAATGTTTAGAACCAATCTGTTTTTAGCTACTTATGACGGACGTTGTACTTACTTTAAGTTGTGCAGTTCGGATGAAGGACGTAATAGTTTTTATTTTGGAGATGTCCAGTCTGTAACTATATGTAACAGACGGTGTACTTACTTGAAGGTGTCCAGTCTTTGTGACGGACGTTGTACTTACTTGAAGATGTCCAGTCTGTGTGACGGTCGTTGTACTTACTTGAAGATGTCCAGTCTGTCTGAAGTTGTGTTGACCTCCCACACATAGGCTGACCCTCCAGCGTCTATCGTACCCTGTAAACGAAAAGGAAATACAAACTCTTATAACAATGACGAGAGTTCTAATGAATACTTTTCTTATACCAGCTCATTTTCAGATATTTTGCAATTTGTTTCATTTGGAATAATAAATACGTCTTGTCCTCAACTTTCTACAAATACATATTTTTCAGTCTACTTAAAGATGTACTTCTAAACCATTTTTATGGGTTTTTTTTACTGATGACTCAAAACTGTTTCCGAATTCACATTCGTTAGGAATTGCCTAAACAGCAGTATACAGTTTACCTGAACTCAAAGATCATACCGGACAGTCAGTAATGTGGTAACTGATTCGAAGTGTAGTCTCTGAATACAGGACCAGTTTAGACTGGGCCTGTATGTGAAACGTCTATCACGAGAAATATTACATTAAAGGAATATGGTATAAAATGATGGATTCCTATTTACTGCAAGTTAAGAAATAGGTAATATCTGATGATGAATACCTTTATTAAGACAGATATTAATCCGGCCACCATGATAACACTCTGGAACACGTCTGTCCATATCACCGCCTTAATTCCTCCCTGTAAAAGAAACGTGTTTTCTCGTAATCTGACAAATATTAACACCGCCTTCTATCCGAAATGAATCAAGACTGCACATTTCTTTATCAATCTCAGTATAAGTTGTTGCTCGCGTCAACACACGAGTCAATGTTGTCAACATCAACCATAACTAGTTAACACGTAAAATTCAACCATGATAAAAGTTAACACGGTATAATTCAACCATGATAAAAGTTAACACGGTAAAAATCAACCATGTTTAAAGTTAACACGGTAAAAATCAACCATGATCAAAGTAAACACGGTAAAAATCAACCATGATCAAAGTTAACACGGTAAAAATTAACCAAGATCAAAGTTAACACGGTAAAAATCAACCATGAGCAAAGTTAAAACGGTAAAAATCAACCATGATCAAAGTTAACACAGTAAAAATCAACCATGATCAAAGTAAACACGGTAAAAATCAACCATGATCAAAGTTAACACGGTAAAAATTAACCATGATCAAAGTAAACACGATCAAAATCAACCATGATCCAAGTTAACACGGTAAAAATCAACCATGATCAAAGTTAAAACGGAAAAAATCAACCATGTTTAAAAGACCTTGGTAAAATCAACCAAGATCAAAGTTAGCACGGTAAAAATCAACCATGATCAAAGTTGACACGGTAAAAACCAACCATGATCAAAGTCAACACGGTTAGAATCAACAATGATCAAAGTTAAAACGGTAAAATTCAACAATGTTTAAGTTAACATGGTGAAAATTACCCTTGATCAAAGTTTTAACACGGTTAAAATCACCCATGATCAAAGTAAGCACGGTAAAAATCAGCCATGATCAAAGTTAACACGGTTAAAATCAACAATGATCAAAGTTAAAACGGTAAAAATCAACCATGTTTTAAGTTAACATGGTAAAAATCAATCATGATCAACGTTAACACGTTAAAAAAAACATGATCAAAGTTAACACGGTAAAAATCAACCATTATGAAAGTTAACACGGTAAAAATCAATCATGACCGATGTTAACACGGTAAAAATCAACCATAATCAATGTTAACACGGTAAAAATCAACCATGATCAAAGTTAACATGGTAAAAATCAACCATTATGAAAGTTAACACAGTAAAAATCAATCATGATCAAAGTTTACAAGGTTAAAATCAACTATGATCAAAGTTAAAACGGTAAAAATCAACCATGATCAAAGTTAACACTGTTATTATTAACTATGACCGAAGTTAACACGGTAAAAATCAACCATGATCAAAGTTAACACGGTTAAAATCAACCATGTTTAAAGTTAACATGGAAAAATCAACCAAGATCAAAGTTAACACGGTAAAAATCAACCATGATAAAAGTTAACACGGTAAAAATCAACCATGATAAAAGTTAAAACGGTAAAAATCAACCATGTTTAAAGTTAACATGGAAAAATCAAACATGATCAAAGTTAACACGGTAAAAATCATCCATGATAAAAGTTAACACAGTTATTATTAACCATGATCAAAGTTAACACGGTAAAAATCAACCATGTTTAAAGTTAACATGGTAAAAATCAACCATGATAAAAGTTAAAACGGTAAAAATCAACCATGATAAAAGTTAAAACGGTAAAAATCATCCATGATAAAAGTTAACACAGTTATTATTAACCATTATCAAAGTTAACACGGTAAAAATCAGCCATGACAAAAGTTAAAACGGTAAAAATCAACCATGTTTAAAGTTAACACGGTAAAAAGCAACAAAGATCAAAGTTAACACGGTAAAAATCATCCATGATAAAAGTTAAAACGGTAAAAATCATCCATGATTAAAGTTAACACAGTTATTATTAACCATTATCAAAGTTAACACGGTAAAAATCAGCCATGACAAAAGTTAAAACGGTAAAAATCAACCATGATAAAAGTTAACACGGTAAAAATCAACCATGATCAAAGTTAACACGGTAAAAATCAACCATGACAAAAGTTAAAACGGTAAAAATCATCCATGATTAAAGTTAACACAGTTATTATTAACCATGTTTAAAGTTAACACGGTAAAAATCAACAAAGATCAAAGTTAACACGGTAAAAATCAACCATGACCGAAGTTAACACGGTTAAAGTCATCCATGATCAAAGTTAACACGGTAACAAGAGTCCCAGAGGGTCTGTATCGCTCACCTGTTTCTTTTGTTACATAAACTGACATATAGGTAACTTAAGACCAAATTTGGTGACTAGAACACAAGACATTTAACATCTCTTAAACGGTTTGGAAGAGACTGTTGTTTGAAATTTGAAATATTAAAGCTTTTAACCCAAATTGAAATTGACTTCAGACTTGCACTTAAAGTTGACCTTTGACCTCATTACTGTTTTGAGAAAAATATTCGCACTGCTGGTCTACATAACATACCAAAGTACCATGACTCTAGTCCAAATGGTTCTTAGGATATTGTTGTTTGAAATTTTTAACATATTTGACCCCTGTGACCTTGAAAGGCTGTCAAGGTCGTTTTAATGAGAACACTTTATAGCACTCCATCCCAGGTATCTACTGGCTAAATATCATGACCCTAGGTCTTCCAGTTCTTCAGAAGAGGTCGTTCAAAAGAAAATGTTGACGGACGGACGACGCGCGACGGACGCCGCAGTTCGGCATAAGCTCACATGACCCTTCAAGCCTCCAAAATTGCTTCCATGCAGCATTTTTTTTTTATTTATTTATGTGCATTTTCATTAAAAGTGTAAAAGTAAAGAAAGCATCTGTCTTTTTAGTCAAATGATAACACAAAAATATGTTATATAACTAGATTTGTGCTATGTATTTAATATAGATGCCTTGTAAACTGATTATATAACTTCAGGTGGTCATCTTGAATTAAGGATTTCTTTTTCGCATCTCGCATATCTTAACATGACCAGTGTACATCATGGATAATGTTCACGCAAATGGTAACACAAAAATATACCATCTAATTATTCAACTTCTGTCTAAATATTCAATATATAACCTCATATTTAGATTTTTTTAACTAATGGCGGCCATCTTGGATTTTACCGGAAGTAAGTATTTTTTCTGATGCCTCCATATCTTAAAATGACAAGTGTAAAATTAGGAAACCTATGTACGAAATTTCATGCTTTTATCATAAAGTGCAGTATTCTTCTAATTTTGGCTCTTATCCGCTGTACTATTCGGGCCAGGGTGAGCTAAAATCCAACCATGACCGAAGTTAACACTGTAAAAATCAACTATGATCAAAGTTGACAGAGTAAATATCACTAAAGTTCAAAGACGCGACCGTTTCACATGTGTGTCTCCCGTTCTGTTTTCTCGACTGATTGACATACTGCGTAGGAATTTATGCAAGATGAAGAGTTCTGTTATTTTATACGAAATTCGAACAGATATGTTATAAGTTAAACCCTTATTATATTTCTACATGGTCTCAAAATAATTCGACCCTGTTCTAATTTCGTGAAGCTAACGACTCGTAGAATTTGAACTGTAGGTAGTACTTTGCTTCACCATACTAATGTAGAAACACAAAGTGAGTGGGAACCAATCTTCAAACTTCAACAGGTCCCTAGTTCAGGACTTTTAACAACCAAAACGAGGGAATGTCTTGATCAACAAATCAATACCACTGTTTAACCAACATCTCTACTTTTTAAAGGGCATTCATAAAAACCCATGGTAAAATTATAGCTCTATAACGGTAGCATACTTACAATAGAAGTGTACAGGACGGCGGATGACGATACAGCTAGTATAGACGCCCACCTAGGGATACGGGTCACTGCAAAAACAACGTACGTACATAAATATCACCTTAAAATTACTGGACCTAAACATTGCCAATGGGTACCGTTATCGAGAGCACCAACAAACCGAATCACAAAAGCACCGAAATACACTGTTCACATTTGAAACCATCCGGACACCAACATCCGGGTTTGGATCGATGAATGTGGACTTACCTCCTTCCATGGCAACGGCTTGTGCCATCACGATTAAACCAATGTATATTTCCTGTAAAAAAGGGGAAAAGTCAATGACAATGACAAAAAATACCTTTGCTTATAAAGTGCAGAGCTACGTTATTATTTATTATTAATTTGTTGTTTTCTTTCTTTGTAGTTCATGTTACATATGTGGTTTGTGAAAAAATATATTCAGAGCCAATTCAACGGTTTGCGTGTTATTATTTAATTAAAAGCAGAAAGTTGAAACATGTTACACAAAAAGTATCTAGTGAAGCGTCTTACTTACGTTCAGAAGTATCATACACGTTGCTATAAATAACCTCACGGCCTTGCCCTTGTACCGCAACTGGTAATACTGACATAAAAAGTCAAGAAAAATATCAGTGAAATTCCAAAGAAAACAGAAACAGCATGTTTATTTGACACTAGGTAAACATTATGTACTATGTATAACTTTGACGCCTATAATGAAGAATGTAGAATTCAGCTATGACAACCCTTATGCCGAATTAAACTTTGGCAGCCATTATGTATAATTTAGCTTTGACATCCCTTATGTATAATTTAGCGTTGATGTGCATTATCTAAATTGAGATTTGACGCCCATTGTATAGAAATGAGCTCTGACATCAATTCTGAAGAATAAATATTTGACGTCAATTGTGTAGAAACTAGCTTTGATGCCCATTATTTAGAGGCTAGTTGTGACGCCCATTATGTAGAGTTTTACTTTGGCGCCAATTCTGTAGAATTAAGCTTTGACGCCAAGTTTGTAAAAAAAATCTTTGGTGTTCATTATGTAGAAATCAGCTTTGGCGCCCATTGTGTGCAATTTTAGCTTTGACGACCATTATCTAAATTGAGCTTCGATGCCCTTTGGATAGAATTTAGCTCTGACACCAATTCTGTAGAAATTAGCTTTGACGTCCATTATGTAGAATTTGACTTTGATGCCCCTTATGTAGAAGACTGTCCGCACACACTTACCTCGCTAACTGTGGTCAGTTTAAGCGGATAAAGCATTGGAACAACGATTCTTGCCCCGATCAGGTACGACAGACACAGTCCAAAGGACGAGAATAACATAACACCGCCATAGAGATAGGTCTCGGCGGGAATACCGAGCATCAAAATGGACGACTGGGTGGTGACCAGCATGGAGAGGATGAGAGGGAACGTCTTCATCTGTCGTTTCCCCAGATGGTACTCCAGGCCGGTATTCTCTTTTCTTCCGGCACATGCATGGAATACTCCGATCCCTATTGAAATAACGATAACACAGACAAACACTATGTAGTCCATAGCGACGAATCTGGCTGGAGCAGGCGACATGTTTGTTCACTTCTAGAGAGGAACGTCTCGTGCGGAAACATTTATTGTTTGGTTTGGTTTAGTATTTTTAACGTCCTATCAACAGCTGTGGTCCATTAGGGAGGGTCATTTATTGTATTTGGTATGTAAATATATGGGCGTTTACAGCAGAACGATTTCATACATTACATTGACGTAGCATTGACAAATTCCTATTTGAGAGAAGATCATGGAGGGATTTTATGAAAGGTATGAAGACACCGTGCATAGGTCTCAAATAGAGGTTGGGTTTTGAGCATTCATCCGGGTCGCTCTACTTGAAACAAATGGAAATGCTACATACCATCACACAACTTTCTGTCTGCTCCTAGTACACATAGCTCTCTCACTCTCACTGCTTTGGAGGATAAAAAGGGATTGGAAGGGGTTAGAAAATCCTCCCGAAAAGGCGTGGGCGAGCACAACTTCACCCATTTCAAGAGTATTTTCTGACATCAGGGTAAATCCTCTCAAAGGATGAGTACACACTCATCCATCCCTAGAGTATTATTTTTCTATCTATCCCCAGGGAGTTACCAGTCATGGTCACTAGACAACACCTACAAACGGATGTATAAGCAAACCACAGCCTATAACAAATTCGTTTTCGCCAGGCCTCGATGTCCTGAGAGTATATTTTATTTCTCCCACAACCACTGTTGGTTTCCTTACTCCCGATTCATTAAAGAGTTGGTAAACATTTGTGGTTACCCACTAGAATGTGTTGGGTAACACCCTGGACGTGATTTCATTGGTCATTTTTTTTTTAACTTATGACGTCACGTTACAGTGCTCTGCGACTTTCTTTATCTTTCATTGTGACGTGTGATTCACGTTATCAGGGACGTGTACTATTACGTTCGTCGGACTATGCATAACTCCCATAGGGCTTTATCCGTTGTACATTTTACCATCATTTCTTTTTTACATGCAGTATATACTCTGATCAAAGATTTCAAATGTTTAGAAATCTTCATAAATACTTACCTCTAAGCTTAGAGAAATTATTATATGGCCATGAAGATTATTCGAGTGACGAATCTTTTTTTTTTTTTTTTTTTTAAATGTCCAACACTATGTATCGAGTACTCGCAGGTTTTAATATGGTCACGTTCTTGTATCTCCTCTCCAGCAGTCCTCATTATCTTTCATATTCATTCCTTAGCTTGTGTCCGTATTACATGGCAAAAAGCGTGCACTTGTGTGTTCCATATTATTTTAGTAATCCTCTTACTGTTTAACTTTCTTTTAAGTGCACGAGAGTGTGAATGCAAGAAGTGTGCGTGTGCTTGAATGTATGCGAGTGAGTGTGGATATGTGCGTTACGTTCTTTCTGTAAATAGTTCCACTTACCGTTGTATATCATGTATGTAATATAGGCATGTGATGGGCCATTCTGTTACAGTCAGTGCGGTGGAAACACATTTTCGAGAAAGGGTGGAATGAAAAGGAGAAAGACACTAAGCACGGGACATGACGAACTGTTGAATAGCTGAAACAATGGAATAGTGCCAGGATATTACTGCGCTGGATGGTTCCATTTTCATGACAAATTTTAAAATCTACTTTAATTTGTACATAAAAGTAAGAGTGAATGTGTGTATTATATGTTGAATATTGAGGATGTACATATATAAACTGCAATGAATAAGTAATAGTCTCTCTCTCTCTCTCTCTCTCTCTCTCTCTCTCTCTCTCTCTCTCTCTCTCTCTCATAGATAAATGTAGTAATTCAAACTATGGAAGCCATCTTATGATGGGTATATACAATTATTTGTCTTATAAGGAAAGGGCGTTAATAATGTTCATGTAACTTGTGCCCAATCCTTTTGTATTTTTTGGCAATAAAATATGTTAAGCTAAACCTTTACCATTAAAAGTTTGTTCAAAGAGTTGTAGCTTACTGGACCATAGCAACTATATATCAACTGAAAAGTGAAGAAAAAAATATGGCCTGGTATTGCCTGGTGAAAATGAACTAGATTTATTCTGTTTCTAAACATACCGTGGCGAGCGGTGTAATTTCAAAATAAAGTTATATTGATATAAAGTACGCTTTTACTACGTTGGGAAATAGCTATTCCCAGAACAATCTAAGTGATACAACATTCAAAATTGAGTTTTGCCATAAACTTCTTAAACGAGAATTAAACTGCGACTACAGGAATATGCCAAGTTTTTCCAAGAAACACTTCCGCTAAAGAAATTCACAGGTAGAAAGTTAGTGATTGTCAATGATGTCTCCAAATAATGTAATTAATCGTTTGAGTTAAGAAAATCCCTCCTTGAAACAGACCATTTCTAAATGGCTACTAGTAGATACGCGCGGGACATCAAATAAGTCAGGGTATTATATAAAACGACACTCTATTTAACCAACTGCTCTTTTCCCTACGTAGTTAGTTTTTATCACAAACAATAAATGAAAACTTATTTTTGGAGCTTTCGAAAACGTCCGTAACCTTTGTCCAGTAAAGAATACAAAGACTCTAAACCACTGAAAACAACTCACTTAGCCATGTCTGCATAGGGAATGCCCTGATGTATAGTGGAGGGTAGGTAGATGGGATTGGCGTCAATCCATAGGATAAAGTTACTTGAATTTGCCTCGACGGTTTGTGTTTTATGATATAACAGAGTCTTAGTCTTATCAACGTGACATTGAACCACTTTATCATATCCCAAATAATGCGGACGGGATCAATACTCGTCGATGTCACCTCGTGTCAGATGTTGGAGACAGGAATTGTAACCGGGGGCATCGTGTCTGCTGTGGCTTGTGTGTTTTAACTTATGAATTAGTAGAGAATGAATTGAAAAGCCTCCGCAAAGTCTATTACCAAGATGTCGGTTTGAGGTCCTTCGTGAAGGTTTCTGGAGATATCATAAATGATTTCAATGGCCACTATATATTCCATTATTTTTGTTTTGTTTTATATTGTTTAACATCCCGTTAACAGCTAATGTCATTTAAGGACGTGCCTCCATGTGTGTTTAGTAATGAAATGCCATGCCGAAGGCACCCAGCACAGCACTCCGCCCGGTCACATTATACTGACAACGGGGGAACCCGTTGTTGCCATTACCCCAAATGCTGAACGTTAAGCAGGGAATAACAACTTCCATGTCTAAGACCTTTGGTATGTCCCAATCTGGAAACAGAACCCATTGCCTGTCTCACCAGGGCGAACTTCAACATTAAAGCCAAAAGTGAGGTGTTACCACGCAAGGCGCTTGGAAATGAAAGATGGTTAGAAGTAGAAAGAAATAGAAAGATACAAAATATTGCAATGGGTGCAGCAGATTTATTTTAGTCGCTTTTGTGTCCCCTAAATGAAAATCCCCAATTCGGCAGGGGTCCCCTCATTAGTCGCCTCTTACGATACATGCAATGAGTTACAGCAGATGTATTCTTTTCTCGATCTCCGACCTGCAGGGGTGCTCCATGATTTTACTACAGATACATATTAGAGATATTGGCGTATAGTTTTCTGGATTGGATTTTGAACCCGTTTATACACAGGTAACACATTGACAGATTTCCAGTCCAGAGGGACTTTACCTGTTGCCAATGACCGTTTGAGTATCACAGTTAAGATCGGGGCTATTTCTGTTGCAAGTTCTTTCATGACCCTAGGTTTGATGTCATCAGGGCCTGAGGCCTTGTATTTAGGCCTTGGGGAGTTTTAGGACACCTCTTTCATGGATAACAATTTCAGGCGTGGTAGAGTCAGTGGTCAGTGAAGATTTCAGAGGGAGTAAATGCATATTGGAATTGTGTGTTTAGTAATCTGGCCTTGCTGGTAGGGTCTTGAACTAGCTTACCGTCCCTTTTCAACGGAGATAATCCCACTATGGTCTGATCGTTTGGATTTTATATATGACCAGAACCGGTATTTTTTACTGGTAAATTGGTTTTCATTTATAGTGTTTTCTAGGGTGGTGAGGTGGTGACGGCTTCAATATGGTTCCAGTAAGATGTTCGGAGCTCTCTCTGAATGTGGTATGTCTCCAGATTTTTTTTATCGTTTGTACAATCTGTCTCTTCTCCTGATAAGTTTCTTTATATCTGGAGTTACCCAGGATAGACTGGGTTTTGTTTTGATTGTTTTGAGGTGGCACAATTTAGTTTTGAAATACCCCCACTGTTTGTTTACATCCCAGTCGCTATTTGCTGACATACATTATAATCTTTTTAAAATGATAAGCTGTTTTTATTGAATTCTAGTTTGAGTTCTTATATACTGGAATATTTCTTGCTTTTTTGTTGTTTTTTGGGGAGTAAGATCAAGTTCTGCAAAGGCGATATCATGATCAGAGAGACCAGGTATTATTTCTGTTCGAATTATTTGATTTGGGAGATATGTAATAAGGAGATTAGGGACATTGCCATTTTTGGTGGGTTGATCAATCACTTGGGTAAGTACAACATCATCTAGTATGTTTGCGAAATTGTAGTGCATTTTCACACGGTTTGTTTTTGGTTTACAACTTTATTTTTCCAGTCCCAGCCAGGGAGATTGAAGTCACCACCTATAATAAGGGCAGCATTAATTATTTTGGTGGCTGCTTAAGTATCTCATGCTATCCTCATCAGATGTTTTGGTATGGTAGAAGGAGCAGATATAGAGTGTTTTACTGCCAACTATATTCATGTTAGCTATATAATTTCACATGAAGTAGTCTACCAGTAAGGCAGTTGCATTGGCAGAAAGTCGATGTGGTAGAGACGGTACGCATTGGAAGGCATGCAGATGTACCAATATGTTAATGTATCCATTAGGAGGCAGCAAGCGTAAAGGAAATAGGATCGGACAGTTGAAGGAAGAAACTTGGAAAATGAAAGCAGTGGCGAGGGGAAGCCATCGGACATTATATTAGCTTGATGGAAAAAAGAGCAGATGTGTAGAGGTATATAAAATAGTAAAGTTCTGCACCATGTTCTTAGAGCTCAGTACGATTCATTACCATGGACTTAGATAGACTACTCTAATTCCGTGGTATTACCAACACCAATAAAATCCACAACAAAGGAGATGTAAGAGACCAAGAAGCCACGTCTTCCTGTTGAGTAGAGCTGTCTCGAGGACAGTATGTATGGAGACATGGCCACATGCTAACGGAAGCTATCTCAACTAGTGCATACTTGGCGAAAGAGAAAATGAGGGCACAATGGGTACATTAAAGGTTTGGAAGTCTTTAATTTTTCTGAGAGAGAATGACAACATCATCGAAAGCACCCGAGAATGACTGTCAGTGCGTCCATCAATTATCCTTTTAAATCCTTTAAAATGACAATCAGTGTACTGACTGGGTGATGGTTTCTAAAACGGTAAATGTAAAAAAAAAAGGTACTTTGTTGTTGCAGAATTATCTGCAGTGATTTTGTTTAAATCAAAGCATATTGATTGTCTGAAAATGTCGCAGGCATACAGAAAGAGTTTTGATACATAATCGTTCCGGAATTATGTCCCCGCTATACGGTCTATTTTCAATTATTTTAGTCACTCCCTATCAAAGCGACCTCTAGCGGTTAAAAAGGGTTTGGCAAAGCGGAAGCTGAGTTGAAAATGGGGCAGGGCTGACACAATTTAGCAATTTGGTTAATTTCTGATCTTTATTGACCAGGTTTGTAAATGTTTTCTGGTTACACGATTTGCATAGAAACCCATGCATTGATATTGTATTTAAATGCTTACACTAGGTACTTACAGCGTGTTTGTTTATGTCGACACTGATTGTACTTTGCAATTGTTATGATGACTCAGTCGTTGTTTTTATGCAGAAAAAACGGGACTAATGATAAAATTCCACAGATGAACGGATGTAATCCGAGTTTCCACTGGCCCTGATATTAGACTTACCAAGATCTATCTGTCAGAACTTATGTCTAAGTTTGTTGTCAGAGCCTGGGGAAAATATATCTGTCAAAATATCTGAGTCTAATATCAGGGCCAGAAAAAAACTCTGACTAGAACCGATGATAACCAACAATATGGGTTTGGGAGAAACGATATCAGTACTTGAAGAATCATACTACATTGTGTACGAGGTGTGGACCGGCTGATGTTGTGTTTACCTATAACCAGGATTAACATAGAGAGTCCTGTCATATATATGACAAATATAAACACCAGCCTAATGTCTTCCTGCTGAATTTATATTATTTCCTTTTTATTCATACAAGGCAATTGTAAGTTGCATGTGAATCCACTGCTTCATAATATCATAAAGAGGGTTTGTATCAAAATCCGAGACTCTTTGTGGCAGAGATCTAGATGGTTTGTTTAAAAAGAAATTATCATATTTAAATAGAATAGATTTTAATCGTATGTGTGATGTTTCAGGCACCATTGATATTCATCATGGCAGCAGGGGAGAAAATCACGTTGACAGACGCACTGCAAAATGTGGATGTGTTGGACGAGCTTCCCCTGCCAGACCAGCAGCCCTGTATTGAGGGAATGTCCTTGTCCATTCATTACCAGGCTAACTTTGACACTAACTTTGAGGACAGGAATGCCTATGTCACTGGGGTTGCTCGGTACATTGAGGAGGCTACAGTCCATGCAGAACTGGTAATATAATCAAACCTGCCTTAGTGACCACTTGCATTTAATAACCATTTTGACACAGTCCCAAGCATCTTACTACATAATTACACTGTATATATTCGGTATAAACATCTTTTGAGACTCGCTGCTGGGACATAAAAAGGAAAGAATGGAGATCTGTATATATATATTAATTTGAATAAATATTTTAATTCAATGACATTTACCGGGTAATGTGCACATGTCAATGCTATTTTCATTTTATAATTATTTTTCATGTATCAATGTTATAATTGGCTGGATGCTGTTTTTAATTCATGATTATTTTTCATATAATTTTGTTACCTTAGAACAAGTTGCTGGAGGAGGGACAGGAACATGCGGTGATGCTCTACACATGGAGGTGTTGTTCTCGTGCCCTACCTCAGGTATAGTTTGTAGCTATTAGCTGTTATCTTGTTTAAGTTCAATACATCAAGATTAGAAACTAGCAAGCTTTAGTTCTCGGATATGAACAGGAAAAATGTTAATTCTATACCTTTCTAAAAGAACTCAAAAATGAAGGAGATGATATTAAAAAATAAGTTAATCTACCAGTGTTGTATAAGTTAATGAAATGTGTTACTTGTACCTAGTCAGTTTCTAAGCAGTAAACACCAGTACTGTGCCACGACCTCCAGTAGTCAAGTACCCCAGGATAGGTGTTAAGTAGGAGATATGGTTGGAAACTGCCCTTCCCTTACTCTGTATATGTATATCAGTTTATTTTTCACCTAGATTTCAGCCAATATGACTCCAAACCATTGATTGACAATTACATGTCTCTCATTTCCTCATACATACATTTCCCCCTGGATGACGATAATACTGCTGGACCAACAAATTTTATAGCAATTTTTTTTTTTCAAGTCTTAAGTATTTCAAAGACTTCTCAAGTTAAGACCTTGCATCCAATTATTTTCAGATCTGGCAAAGTCTATCTTATTTGTCTCGTCCAAATACCCATATTTTAAGTTTGGATTTCTAGCTACTCAATTGAGTATTATGTATATATATCACCTACTGTATATGGTCATATTTTGTGAATTATGAACAAGATAAGCGTGAGAACACAAATTTGAACAAAGATGTGAACATATAATCACATAATTTAATAAAATATTTTGGAGGAAAAAAAGCAATGGAAAATTAATGGAATGAAGTCCAGTAAATGATAAATTATCCATGTTGTAATTCATAGTTATTTCTAGAATATGGTAATCAATTATGACCCTTTTAATGATATAGCATGTTGAGAAGGGGGAGCTTCATTAAGTAACAAAAAAGGCTTGATGTGTTTAGGCAGGGGTAAGGGGATCCTTTAGGCCTGTCGTAGATAATAATACATACATAGTGTACCATTAAACTGTCTTTAATTTCCAGTTTACCATAACAAGTTTAATTGAATTTTCATTTGTTTAACTTGGCTTTTCAAAATGAGTTTGTAGTACAATTGACATGATTGTGTAGCTTTACATTTTAAATGTTTATTTCATGATAGTAAATTCAGTAGTTTTACATGTTAGATTGTTCGACTATCTTCTGAATTTTCCTGAGAAATTTCATTTTTGTCTTTTAACTCATTTGATGTTTCTCAAAGAAGCTGTATATTTGTGAACAGAAAGGAATGACCTGACAGCTGTGTATTGGTGATTTGAAAGGATTTATGAGATTCTGATTTTGATTTTCAGTACAATTTTCTTCTGGGTGATTATACACCAGTGGGTATCTCTTTTAAGACTTAATTATCAACTTTGGGTTATGAATCCCTTATTGTAAATTGGGTTATTTTTTGTGCAAAATACATTTAAACTATGACACAAACTATAAATGTGTAGAAAGGTTTGAGAATGTGTAAATACTTTCTTAGGTATTATCAGTGGCAGACTGTAAGTTCTTGTTCAAGGAACAGCAAAGGCAATGTAAATTCCTACTAGATAAAACTCTTGTTTGAACAATGTTGCACGAATAAATATTTTTTTCTGTTTCGATAAAAAGTCCTAAATTGGAAAAACATAACACTTGAACATGTTTCAGTTTCCCTATGATGACTTAAATATAGTCATAGTTTAAATGTTTGCTTTAATGTCATTGCACTTCCTTTTCATGTCGTAACAAATACAATGTATTTTAAAAGCCACCAATGTTGTGTGCCAATATATATTTGTATTTGAAAACAAGAGTCAGAGTTTAAGTTATTTTAAATATTATGTTTTTACCCTGTTAAAGCAGCATGTACATTTCCTGTCTTGATAATATGGTTATAAATGTCATTTAGGTAGTTCATTTGTCATTGTCTTGGATTTGTTCCTTATATAATATTATTTTTATGACTAAGAATGACTTTCAATTTTTTGCATAAAGTTCAGCTTAATGATGGTATTTTACCAGCATCAAAATTGTCTTGTTTTACTTTTATGTTGCTTGAAACACCATAATATGATTTTAAGCTATGAAATCAATAACCTCACAGAAATAACCCAATTTATGATGTTATGATTTAGTGAAGATTCATTTTCAATGAATGATTCCAAAATCTTGTACTGTAAGTTAAAAATACTAGTAACGTATATTTAACTGTTCAATTTATATTGCAATTTTAGCGGTGAATTACATTCTGTACTTTGCTCTTTTGCTCGTTTCTAAACTTCTTGTAAAAGCAAAATGGCTATAGTAATACTAAGAAAGTCAATCAACACTTGACTGTTGTTGGCTTTAAGCCCACCATCATCAGATGGTGTACTGTTCAAATCGCCCTTCATTTGTGGTTCATGTGTTGTCTGTCGTAAAACAATTCTTGTTATCACTATTTCTCGAGGTCTACATGACAGATATTTCTATAATTTGATATGAAGGTTCCCCTTGGTCCTTAGTTGTGCATGGTACACTTTGAGAGTGACTTTGAAAAACAAGATAGCTATCAGGCAGCATCTTAGATTTTGACAGTTCACATTTGTGGGGTGTCTCAAAAAATACTGGAAAGAGAAATCTTTTATCAAATTTTATTTCTAGTTTCCCCTCCATCCATAGTTGAGCATGTTTCATTTTGAAACTGATAGGAAGAGCATGATGGCTGCCAGCACTAAATCTGCATCATATGGACAGTTCAAGTTTCTTATCACTTTTTCCAAGAAGGACATGTTCTTACCACTTCTTACCATGTAAATTTCATATGTAGGTTCCAATTAGGTTAGTTTTGTATGTTTCAATATCAGACCAATTGGAAGGACTGGCAGCCATCTTTGATTTTGATAATTCAAGTCATTATTGTGATTTCTCAAGTGACTTTTGACAGATAACTTTCAAAATTTCAAATGTAGGTCCCCCTTGTAACACATTAAGTCATTCAATACTCTGTATATAATAATAAAGAGGTTAAACAACAACCTCACTTAGGAAGAACAATGTGGAATACAACCGTATGATGTTTTGATCAGAAGTTACCACAAGAGTCATTCTGTTTACATGACTCAATCCAACAGACAAAAGAAAATGAGAGAAAGGATTACTCTTACATAGAACTAATGAAGATCTTATGATGGTGGGCACCAACAAGATCCCTCTGGAATCACTTGTTTTGATCTGCTAGCCATGGCTTCTTTCAAATCGCAAAATGCTGTTCATCAAGACTTTAAGATAACCCATCTGTCATTCATACATTTCAAACTAAACCTTAACACAGCGTTGAGGTCATGCTTTCCCTATCATCTTACATATCATATGAATGATTTACATGATCATTACTTATCAGCCAACCTCATGCTGTTATGTGCTTGTGTTCAATAAGAATGGATCAAATAACATAGTGTTATTGAATTGTTTTAATTACAACGTATTGTTTATGATAAATAGTTACAATTGTATATTTTAATACAATTTATACAGGTTTTAATTATAAGATATTGTTTATGATAAAAAATTACAAAGTATATTTTAATGCAATTTATATGTACACTTAATAACTAGATATTGTTTATATTGATTTGTTTATGATATATCAACAGACATTTCTCCACAGACCCATATTCTTCATTTGTGTTTGTGTTTTATTATACTGTATTTAGTTAGACCAGATTTGTTGTGATTTTACTACAGAAACTTGGTGATGGAAAACCTCATGTTACTGTAGTAAGATGAATTGTACTGTGTGTACAGATCACGGGCATTGTACAAGTCATAGTCCCTTTATACCCAGACAGGTTGTTCTTACACTGTTTTACAAGAACGAACATCACAATAAAAGAGATTTTTTACACAAATATTGATTTTTTAATTTTGTTAGCCGGAAATGAGAAAGAAAAAATATTGATACTTTTAACATTAACTTTGATATGTATGACATATATTTGTTTTTTGTAAAAACGTTTAATTTCTGAATATGACTGGTATGATCATATATTTTTTACTGCAGTTAATCAGGTTTGAATAAAACTTAATTCAAAAGAAAATAACTACATGATTTTATCAATATTCTTTTAAGGCAGTGATTTAACCTGTGTAAACATGGTGCTGTAGACTAGCAAGCCCTAAAGTAGTGTCGACTCCCATGTTACTTAGACAAGTGCATGAATACCAATATGTCCTGTGACCCAATGAAGCAAAGTGATCCCGATATTGAAGGTTTAATGTAGTGTATAAATATAAAATGTGGCATTTGTGGAGTGAGTTTTAGGTGGAATAAAATGGATTGATTTATTAAGGAGTTTAATCCCCTCACAACAAGCTTAAGGTCACAGATGGGATAGAGCATTTGTTTAAAAGTTAACGTATCAGGGTGTCAAGGTCAGTCATATTTTGTTATCACCATAGCAACATCATTCTCCCATAGATTTTGATCAAACTTCATATGTTGGTTATGTAGAAAACCTCAAATGAGTGTGTGTTTCAGGGTGCCAAGGTCATGGTCTTTCTGTTACTATTTATTGAATTTTTGTTTTTTCATTGTGGAAAATTATTATTAAGTAAAAGGACTATGTATTTTGGGCCTTTTTTGGCCCCCAAATCCATCAAAATTAAAAGTCTGCAATAGAACTTTGAAACGACTTTCTCTTTAATTTTGAATACTTCCCCAGTGCTATTATGTAAACATTTATTTGTGTTTTCAATTTTGGCTGTCATGGTAACTAGGTCATATTTGCATAAATTAATGAAATTTGATTATTCTGTCAATTTTGACAGGTTTTCACCTTGTTTTTCTCTAATCTACCATAGAGCGCACTCTTGAACAAAATTGATATTTCTCCTAAAGATGTATTACAGGTACACATTATCCTCTGATACTTAGTTTGTTCAAGCATGCACTCTATAGTTTCAAGGAGAAAAACTATGCAAATTTTTCTAATTTATACAAATTTGAACTTGTTACCATGGCAAAAATAATTAAAAATATAAATAAATATTTTCATAATAGTATTTGGGACGTATTCGAATTAAAGAAACAGTCATATCACAGTTCATTTAAAGATTTTGAATTTTGATGCATTTGGGGGACAAAACACGCCCAAACCATGCATAGTCCTTTAAAATTTCTTACCAGTAAATACAATTTAAATACTTGTATCATCATCTTAACCCCTGTTTCTCAATCTTGACATTGGAATACAAGTACCTTGGCAGTACTTATATAACTGTATGCAATTTTCCATGTCCAATAGTTCAGGTGTGACTTGTAATTCTTGTGTGACATTGCTGTTTCTTTTTTTTTAATGGAAAGAATTAATAGATAGAATTATGTTAATTATCAGGGGATGAAGTTACTAGTTTGAGAAGTAATAAGGCACTGTTAGACATATACTTTAAACCATAGAGGGTTTGTTTCATCTACAATACCTTGTTTATGATTCATTTCAAACATAAGTTACATTATGTTAATACTTGAAATCAAAATGTTCATAATATGTGAGAAATGTATGTTGTAAGTTTTAATACTTAAGCCAGCTTGCAAATTGGGAAATAATATTTAACTTGTATTTAGTAAATATGAATCACTGCATTTTTACAAGGATATGACATATTAGAAGTTACTTCACAACGGATATATAGGATCTTGCAATATTGTGATTTACTGTAAAATTTATCACACATTGCATAATTTTTTTCTTCACAATAATTCAATTTTTTAATTAGTTGTATTTCCCTTATCTACACCATTTAAGGATTATATTTGAATATAAAGTATGGGTTTTACATTTTTGGGTTAATATATGCGGGTATCGTGTAATGAATCACAATGTTCAGTGTAATTCTTACAGGTGAAGAGCAATGAACAGGCCAACAGGACAGAGATCTACCAGAAAACCGTGGAGGTACTCGACCCACAAGTCTCCAAGTTGATGGATCTCATGTACTTCACGGTAAGATGTTGACCAAATCCAACTTACAAAATTACTGATGTGTTCTTGGCTGAAAAACTCTTGCAACCTTCATAATTATGTTTAGTCCTTTATTCTAACATGTATGTATTTCTAGCATAACAAGCTATGTACTTAATAGTGATGTATCTATTGGTAAGTATTCCTGACTGATGTGTACTTCATATGAATGTAACTATTAGTAAATGTTTCAATCTTTGAAATCTGTGTATGCAAATGAAGCACTTGTGTAAGGTGATAAATATGACTTGTTAATAACAGTGAGTAATGTTATTAAACCTGCATCTTACAGAGACGAGCTATACTGAGGTTTGGAGGTGAGGTGAAGCGCCTGTCACACAATCAGAAGAGAAATGACTTTGTATCCGAGGCCTACCTTGTTACACTGGGAAAGTTTATTAACATGTTCGCTGAACTGGACGAGCTGAAGAACATGAAGGCTGGTATTAGGAATGATTACTCGGCTTATAGAAGGTAGGTCGGTTTGTAAGACGAATCTTATTCCGTCTTTGCGTATTGCAGAGTTATCTTCTCTTGAGAGCAGGTATTGATTGTTACGTCATTTGTTTGTAAGAATTTTTGAGAAAACAATGTAATTTTCTTACACAAACCAATGACGTAACAATCAATACCTGCTCTCAAGAGAAGATAACTCTGCAATACTCAAAGACGGAATACAGTTCCATTTGTAGCAGGTACAGAAATAGTTCCCTTTGACATGCACAGTTTCTGGTCCTATTTTATCAATTAATTAAAAAAAAAATGATCAGTATTTGTTTAACAAGATTTGCATTTCACCATGGTGTCAACATGTTGCTGGAATCCCATTTCATTTCCCTTTGCATATCCAGTTGAAGTAGTCACCCATGTAGAAGTAATCCATTAGCTGTTAGAGTTTCTGATATATGACATTAATAACGAAGGAAATCAATTTCCCCATTTACAGGTCAGCCATGTTCCTGAAGGTAATGGCCGACCCTCAGGCCCTGCAGGAGTCACAAAACTTGTCCATGTTCTTGGCCACCCAGAACAAGATACGTGAAATGTTGAAGGAGGCCCTAGTAGAAGCTGGCAATTGCGAGGAGCTCCTGGCTGACATCATCAACATCTGTGTGAATATGTATGAAAACCGTCTCTTCCTGGAGCCCAGTGAAAAGTACATGCTGGTCAAGGTAATTCATTTCTCGATATATTGGATACTAGGACATTTTTCGCTGCAGTTTTTTTTTTTGGGGGGGGGGGGGGGGGGGGGGGGGGGGGCTCAAATAAATGTTAACATGTGCTGTCACATTCACAGTGTAGCTGACAATATTAAGATGAAAACTATGATAACCCGAAAACCTTTCACCATGTTAAGTTTAAATACTGTTAAATGATTTACAGGTGATGGCCTTTGGAGTATATCTGCTGGATAAGCCAGATTGTAACATTTACAAGATGGACCAAAGGAAGAGGATTAATATCACAAAAATAGACAAGATTCTCAAGGTAAGTATCTTTATCAAAGGAATGCTTTTGGAGCATCAGAAGAAATCCTCATGGTTTGTACTGTTGCCTTCTAATAGTCCAGGTAAGTGTTTACAGTCGGTGTGATTGGTTCCTAGATTTGATAAGGTAAATTAACAGTTATCAACGAATAATGTTAAATTTATGTTCAAGGAAGTTCTAGTGATTTGTAGATTAGAAACAAGGTGTTATTTCCCTTTAATATGAGGAAAGAAATCAGTCAATCTATTAAGAAAGGTGTAGTAATGATTGATTGGTTGTGTTGTATTTAAAGTCCTACCAACAGCTAAGGTTGTTTAAGGGCGTATAACAAGGCAACACTTAACACACAAATTGTGCCCTGCTTTGACTGGTATCTAACTATTCATTTTCATTTTCCAACTTTTGTAGGCTGTTTTTTATGCAAAGTTTCTGTAAAATGATATTTCAACTTCCCATTTCAGCAACTGGAGATTGTTCCCCTATATGGAGATATGCAGATCAACCCTTACACATACATTAAGGGAAGCTGTAACTACGATGCCTCACGCTGGACCTTCTGTGAGTCAAGCCACACAAGTCCGCAGTCCAACATTCTAGCCAATCTGGAGGCAATCCGAGAAGACCATATGGCCTATATAAGTCAGCTCGCAAAACACAGCAATGAGGTATCTTTTTATAGAATACTTTGCTGTTTCATTCAGATTAAGAGGTGATATCCAGTTGAGTGTGCGTTAATCTTGATAGGAGACATCAATGAAAATGTTTTAAAATGTTTTTTCCAAAATTTATTCATAAAACTGTCTTTTGAATAGGCCATCACAACAACACGTGAGTCCCCACGACCTGATGCTGAGAACAAGGAGCTGAGTGACCTTGCCCTACGTGGTCTTCACCTCATGTCAGCCTGGACGCAGCAGGTCATGGAGCTGGTATGTCACTCCCCTGTTTAAATATCACACTCACAGCAGGACTGCTGTTGTTAATAGATATGCCTTTTTTACCCTTGTGATAAGGTCGTTTAGGGCATATGCAATGTTTGTACATACTTGCATTCACTTTTTGTCAACACTGTAGCAACTCAATTTCTTGATGAATTTTATACAAACTTACACTATAATTCAATATGAGAAAACATGTACAGGGTACATGTATTTTGAAAAAAAAAATCATTTTTCATGATGTTAGGACTCTGAACTAACTATTCTCCAGAAGAAACTTCAATATTTACTTGTGGATTTAAAAACGTACAGATACAATAAATTCAATATCAGAGAATAGAGTTGCTAGAGAGGCACTTACTGATGGAGTGTTGATAAATTATCAGATATTTCCTATCTAACAGATTGTTGTGCACACTGGGGGATTTGTATCCCTACTTAAACCTTCTTCTATTGTCTTATTGGAAAACTTTTGTTTGCTTTATCAGTTGTGAGTTTTAACCAACATACACCAAAAATGCAGATTTATGTTGACATAGTTTTTGTGTTAAATGTAGATGATATTGTAATCAATTTCTTAACTCATGCACCCCCTGGATGTTCACATTAGACTGTGTAATTCATTGATTTACGAAAGTCAAAGTGTGACTAGGGGTCAATGGGTAAATCCCAAAATAGTTCAACGCTTTCATCAGTTATAACATTGAGAGGTTTTGCAGTGATGATCCTTGTGTTTTAGTACTCCTGGAAGTTACTACATCCTACAGACAGTCATCAGAATCCTGACTGTCCACAGACCTCAGAGGAATACGAACGGGTAGGTCATTCAGTAGAAGATGTAGGAAAGGATGTAAAACATGAAACTGTAGTACTCTTTCTCACCGCAGTTATTTTTCCTTACACAAACGGTTGGAAGAATCAAGTGTAGGAATATAAATAGTAAGAACCCTAAAAGAATTATTGCTAAAACTCTCCCATAAACTTTCTATCGCACCAACTGAACATCACTACTTCTGAATTTAGCAATTGTGATTCATGTGATTCAACCTTACCTGTATGTTTAAATAAATAAAAAAGGACCCAAGTTTTAGAGCAATCCTGTCATGACACACTAAATGTCCATTTGCTGAGGTAATTAATGAACATGAACATTTCCTGTTGGTACAGTCAATCCGGTACAACTATAACAGTGAAGAGAAGTTTGCCATCATAGAGGTTATCGCGATGATCAAAGGGCTACAACTCCTGATGGCCCGTATGGAGACAGTGTTTATGGACGCTATTCGACGACACATTTATGCAGAACTACAGGTATGATACAAGCATATAAGTCATCAGATGTGATTAGCTTAAAATACGTCAGTAAAAACAATCCATGATTAAAGAATAAATGATAAAAGTGATGGGTCACAAAAGAATGACACAATTGTTGTTAATTTATTTCAATTAGTTGATTCTGAATGCAGGCATTTTCGCCTTTATATTCTGATCATAGTCCATTACAAAATAACCTTTATATGAACTGTATTTATGTGACTTAACATGAAGGTGAGAAACCAAACACTAAAGGCTGTGTTAATAATGGTTCTGTTCCGTCATAATATGAGGTTGGAAAAACGCAGGTTCACTTCTTCAAAGTATGAGAAATTTACTTCCAAATATGAATTCAGTTATGTCAATACGAACAACGTCAGAAACAATATGTATATATATAATTTATGTTGTCTTCAGGATTTTGTTCAGCTTATCTTGAGGGACCCACTACGCAAATCCATCAAGAAACGTAGCGACGTCATCAAAGTGTAAGTTTAGTATATACATAGAATGTACATTGTACTATTGTAATGGTGATTATTATGCATGTTGAATCCTTTACCTAATATTCACTTGGATTAATTAAAACAACATTGAATTCTACCCTACTTAAATTTAGGAAAAATTTAACTTTAACATCAAGATTAGTTACAACTAATCTGACTTGATATTGATATACAATAACAGATCTGGTATCAATAATTCATATTTTTACCAAGTTTGAATATAGAGCCCTGTGGAAAATTTTCCTTCTTCATGTATAATTACTTTACAGAATTTTAATTTAGAATAAATGTTAAAATTTACAAAAAATGACAAAATTCATGATGTTTGTACAGGATAATTATGGCAGTGCGAGATACATGTGTTGACTGGTTCAGGGGAACAGAGCCACAGGATGATCCCTCACTCAAGGGCAAGAAGGACCCAGAGGATGGTTTTATGATTAAGGTCCCAAGGAGAAATGTAGGACCCTCAACAACACAGGTAAAACAATATTGAGTTTACGAATAGACGTTGTACTTGTCCTTCACCTCATCCACACCCTCTGGCAACATCATTCTGTAGACAGCATCGAAAGAAAGAGTTCTAATGTACATGTAAATGTATGTAGATGTTATAAGTGCTTTCATTGGTCATTGAATCAAATCATTATTCAGATTTTAAATTATACTTCTGTCTTTAGTTGCTATATGGTATATTTGTCAGTAACTTTTTTCTCTCTGTGTTGACTGATCAACCCCCACGTCCACCGATAGAGTGTTAACACCCTACATATCCTACAAACTCTGCAGAATCTTACTGTGCTGTAGCATATGTTCATAAATAATGCCACCTTGTTTATAGATTGTGTACTGTGCCATTCCTTTAGCACTTATACTTTATTATTATTATTTTTGTGGAACGTTTTAGTTCTTTTCCTTAACTTATACTGACTTTTGACTTCTGTTATCATGTAAGACCTATTTACCCCTGTATGACCTGTGACCTTGTATGACCTTGTATGACCTCTATGTCACCCCAGCTGTACATGGTGAGGACCATGCTGGAGTCCCTGATTGCAGAGAAGAGTGGTGGTAAGAAGACCCTGAGAAAGGATATAGACTATCAGCACCTCCTGACCATCGACACCTTCCACAAAACCTCATTCTTCTGGAACTACCTCCTCAACTTCAATGGTCAGTAAAGATACAATTGTCCTGTCAACAAAAACACATAAGGACAAAAATTCATGTTGAAAGGCACAAAATGGCGAAATCCTGTTTTATGTGAAGAATTGCAGTATTTTGAATAGATTTATCAAAAGGTCACCATGGCTCAACTAACCTTTTGCTATTTGTCTTTGTCCGTTTTTCGTAACAATTGGCATTATCCACTTCTTAAGAACCATAAGGCCTAGGGTAAGGTTGTTTTACTTGTAGTTAGATTGTCAAATATATTCATTACTCTTTACCTTCATTCAACGTCACAGGAGTCAAATATGTTACATGACTTATTGTATAATATTTATAAAACTTCTCAAGATATAACCACAAAGTCTGTGATCATGATGTTTAACCATAGCTAGCTGGAATGGGGGGCTACTGTTGCTGCTGAATTTGTCTATTTTACTTAGGACAATTGTACTGAGGTGACCATTAAAGCCCATAATTTCAGCCAAATTTTAGGTTGAAATTAGTTTTATTTTGGAACAAAATTCACCTAAAAACTAAAATGCAAGTTATCTTATGTTCATATTGTGAAAGATCTGTCAAGTTCAGAGTTTGAAATTGTTTGTGAATGTATGAAGTTCTTTTGTACATAGCTGTACCTACACTGGAGCTTTATATTTACAGAGTCTCTCCAGAAATGTTGTGACTTATCCCAGCTGTGGTACCGAGAATTCTTCTTAGAGATGACCATGGGCAAACGGATACAGGTAAACACAGGGTTAACATAGAAATGACCATTAACAAGTGTATACAGGTAACATTTGGTTAAGGTCGATTGGGTGTTTTGATAAACGGAAATAGGAAGTACCTCCCTAGTTGAAAATCCAATGTAGGGAGACTGTATCACAATTTCCGCATATCCTAAAGAGTCTAGAGTTGTTTAGTCTTAAACTGATGAATATTGTATGTTTATTATTGACAGAACAGTGTGTTCCCTGAATATTAAAGTATTTCAAAGCAATCCAGGCATTAATTCACCTGGGTTTTTTTCAATGAGTCACATGTGTCCATTTTTCTATAGTTCAGGAAACCGGCTACCTATTTCACTAGTGTGAAGTTTTTCAAAAAAGATAACTCTTCATGCAATTACTATGTGTATATGGTTTTATTATAAAATGTAAATTTTTAATCGACAGTAATTTACATAAATGAAAATACATGAAGTGTAGAATGTTGGCATTGATTGTATCTTTGATGTTGTAGTTCCCTATAGAAATGTCATTGCCATGGGTGCTGACAGACCACATACTGGAGACCAAGGAACCTTCCATGATGGAGTAAGTTTTCTATTTTAACCTGCAGCGATCGAACAGTCACAGTTCTATATACTTTCAATTTATAAACCGAAAAGTGTGGGGCTGCGGTGGCCAAGTGGTTAAGGCGTCTGACATTCTGCTACCACTAGCCCTCCACCACTAGGTTGTGGGTTTGAGGCCTATGTGGGGCAGTCGCCAGGTACTGACCGTACGGCCAGTGGTTTTTCTCCAGGAACTCCGGCTTTCCTCCACCACCAAAACCTGGCACATCCTTTAATGACCATAGCTGTTAATAGGACGTAAAACACAAACAAACCAAAACCAAACAGAAAAGTGCAAATCAAGATTTAGACTATCCTTCAGTGGACATGCACAACTGTCAAATAGGTATTCATCACCAGGGACATTTTGTACTCCTTGGATTTGTACATTTGTGTAATATTATTTATTCACCTCTAGGTACATTTTGCCTCCCATGGATTTGTACATTTGTGTAATGTTATTTATTCACCTTTAGGTACATTATGTACTCTTTGGATTTGTACATTTGTGTAATGTTATTTATTCACCTTTAGGTACATTATGTACTCCTTGGATTTGTACATTTGTGTAATGTTATTCACCTCTAGGTACATTATGTACTCCTTGGACCTGTGCCTTTGTGTAATGTTTTGTTATTCCTCTCCAGGTACATTCTATACCCCTTGGATCTGTACAATGACAGTGCCCACTACGCCCTCACAAAGTTCCACAAACAGTTCCTCTATGATGAAGTGGAAGCTGAGGTACATATTCTACATTCAAGTCTTTACTGAAGCTCCTTAAACTTTATTAAAATTCAGAGGAATATTGTAATATTTAACTGAAATCACTTGTAAATGAAAAAGGAGATACTTTTTTTTTAAGAAAAAAATCACATTTTTTTTCCCCTTTTGCTCCTAGGTGAACCTCTGTTTTGATCAATTTGTGTACAAGTTGAGTGACCAGATATTTGCCTACTATAAACATCTGGCAGGAAGGTAAGATGGATTTCATTTCTTATATCTGTTATCGTATTTATTCAACATTTTTTTATAAAATATTTGAAAAAGAAGTTTCAAAATAAGTGTATCTTGAATTTTTATATGATACCAAATTATGGTTGTGTGATGGCATATAATGCTCCAAAAACACTGCACACAATCATGTATTAAATAATTGTTTGCCTGTTTGTGCGAACATTTTCACACAAATGTGAGACTTGGTATGGTTGGTCAATTGATATCGCAGAATAAACTAAACTATTGATAGCTGATTAGACACTTGATTATTGATCGACATTTATTAAAGCACAACTGGACTTTGTTAATTGTGTGTTCTAGCGCTCTTAACGACAGTAATATTCATGCTTGGAACAATATCATATTTGGTTGAATATATACCTTCTCCTACACTGTGTGACATAATATTTTCACACCTCTGCAAAAGGGATGACATTTCCACAACACAAATGAGGTGGCCAGGATTTACCTATAACAATCCTTAGCTTTACATGTCTCGATTTAAAAAATGCTTGCTTCTTTAAAGTTCCTATCATATGTGCAGACATGGTGCACATACTTCATTTCCTGTAATGTTAAGCAGCCCCAATACTGCAACACTGTATACTGGAAAACTTTCGTTAAGTCAAAAATTTGCCCTTTGGCTGATCAAATCCATGTTCCCCCAGTGTTAATTTCGCCCTTAATACTTTTAAACTACTATATATTGTATGTTGTGTACTACATGTAATATTACTGTCATGATAAGTTCGTCCTCATTAGGGACGACAAAAAAAGGCGAAAGATAAACTGCAGCGAAAATACCCCGATATTTTATAGTATGTATATGCTATGTTTTTGTTACAGTATTATGCTTGACAAGAGATTTCGATCAGAGTGTGCGAGCATGGGTGTCAAGGTCAATTACCCAGTTGCTAACAGATACCAAACTCTTCTGCGACAGAGACATGTGCAGGTAAGTACAAGACTGATCTTTAAATTCAGATGAAGAAATTTGGACCTCATTTAGCATGGAACATCCCTGGTTGTAGGTAATTCAGTGTTGTATGAATAAAGTTTTGATTCTTGTAATGTTGCAATTCGTTTAATATGTACATTGGTCTATATAAAGTAAAACTTTGATATTAAGTTGAAAAGAGTTTGATAAGATCAATATAACAACAGAACACTTTTCATTTGCAAATTTTGTGTTATGCAGATCCTTGGACGGCTTATTGATCTGAACAAGCTGATTGGCCAGCGAGTGAATGCTGCGCTACAGAAGGCCCTGGACGTGGCCATCGCCAGGTTTGAGGGCGGCGACATCACTGGTGTTGTGGTGAGTCAAGTTTACACATTAATTGTTATTAATTAAGGAACTAAATTATTTTTTGTCAACATTAGCGATTCATGGTAAATATGTCCAGAAGCAATGTTGAAAAAAACGATTTCGTTCCTTATGTTTACTTTTTTTTGAAGTGCTTTGAATTTTTCTGATGCAAGCATAAATAAAAAAAAAATTGAGTTACTTTTTCTATTTATACATTGGGGCAATGCAGTAGGGATAACAAAACAAACAAAGTATACTTCCATTTTCAAAATTTAGCAGAATTTATACAAGTCTTATACCTGTAACATTATCATAAACTTAACACACCTATTTTAGCTTTAAAATTAAGTTTATCATGTTTAATGTGAATTCAAAGTATCATAACAAAACTGCATCAAGGGCAGTCTCACGGCGGACGTGAACCAAGAAATGCCCTCAGCTACGTCATTGTAGTGTATCAATTCACAGTGATGAGGTCACCTGTGTTATGCAAAAATGAATGTCATTTTCGTCAATGGGTCCAAGCATACAAAATGTAAATATCAATAATTGAATAGCTATAATAACAATTTAAAAAAAGTACAAATTTAAAAGTTTTCACTGAGATACTGTACACATGTACTTTGTTTATCCTCTATCCAACTCTGCTTGTTTATCTTCTATCCAACTCTGCTTGTTTATCTTCTATCCAACTCTGCTTGTTTATCTTCTATCCAACTCTGCTAAATTTGTCGTTGTTTTCACCATCAGGAGCTAGAGGGGTTGATTGAGTGTAACCGACTCACCCATAAACTATTAGCAAAGTACCTGACGTTGAATGACTTTGATGCCATGCTGAGAGAAGCCAACCACAATGTGTCGGCACCTTATGGACGTACAACACTCCATGTGTTCTGGGAGGTCAACTATGACTTCCTCCCCAACTACTGCTACAATGCTGCCACCAACAGGTAAGGTCATGGCAAGGTCACTGTGATAGAACAGTCAGGTAGTGCTTTACTCACTCCCCATAGTGCTATAGTCCCCTGCTTACCCATTATATTATTAAGTTTAAAGCATGGCTGTCATAATCTTGCAGCAACTGATACAAAAGTATGCCATTTCTTGTCATGATTTTAAAAGAATAAAAATTTAAAAAACAGATCAAATAGAAATTATCAGGAAAAAAACAGAAGTGAAAGTACAAATAATAAAATATAGCCATTAAATAATGTTATTTATCACACTTTTGTCTCTCATACATTTTGCCCATGTGATACAAGTGTTGTTTGCTTTATCGTATCAGTGCCCAGGCTGATAAACAGTTTTTACACCAACCCGGGCCAATTACTAGATATCAGCCCAAGCTGATATCACTTCATCCCGTTTCTTTACTCCAGATTTCAGTTTTATGTTCAGACACTTCGGTTTCCGGCACAGACGATAACAAAAACAACAACAATTGTCAAATTAATTTCTTTTTGTTTTGTTTTTCGAAATGTATGATAAAAAGGTTATGATATGACTAATTTGATATCACACCCTTTATCAGCCCTTGACGAGGGCCGATATCGAGGTCTCAGGCTGATAAAGGGTGTGATATCAAAATACTCATATAATAACCTTCTAAATATATAATGATGTAAACCCGGTATTGATGGTTGTGTGGTATCGCTGTACGCAGGTTTGTGAAGACCAAACTGCCATTTGGCCCAGAGAGTCAGCGAGAGAAACCTCCCAATGCTTCACCACACTATATCTGGGGCACCAAGGTACAATACTTTATCATTATAACTAACTCTGTGGATTGTTTGTATAACTTTGTTTCAATTTTTTTTGTGCTATGTTGTACTTTCTTTTGTGCTTTGCTATGAACTTCTGTCTAAAGGTTCTATGCTATAGACTTTCTGTGTTCATATGGTTTGTATGGTTTTAGGTATGCTGTAGTTTAAGGCTACAAATGGTCTATAAATGTGTTACTTAGTTTATGCTAATCTGTGTGTACAATATAATTCTATGCTATGAATGGCTATTAAGTTCGACCCTTATGATTTCTTTTTGTGTATTCTACGCGCCTTGTTCTGAGTTAGAAATTTATGTGCAATAGAGTTCAATACTTTGAATTTACTATAGATTTTTATGTACAGTACATTTCTATGCTATCAATGTGCTATAGAGTTCCACCCTTCCAACTTTTTCTGCGTATCTTACAGGCCTTGACAACCTCCTACAGTGCTATCTACAACCTATACCAGGGCTTCGTTGGAGCTCCTCACTTTAGAGCCATCTGTCGTCTGATTGGCTATCAGGGCATTGCCGTGGTAATAGAGGAACTCCTTAAGATAGTCAAGGCCTTGGTAAGTGGACACAAGTGGATACTATGTATACTTTCATGTGAACGTTTTTATCATCAAACATATGCAACATCAACATACGCTACTCTTAACCAAGACGACTTCACTATCCCAAGATGTAGGACAGAACTTTTCAGAAAATTATTCAGACCTTCATCTATAACACAATGGAATTCCCTCAACTCCTGTATAAAGTGAACCCATTCTCTTGTTGCATTTAAAAACTGTTTAAAACATGATACTGTTTTTATTCCAAATTTTTAAACAGTAGGAGATAGAAAATTTACAATTTTACACACTAGACTTAGGAACCAATGCAGCAGTCTACAATATGACCTTTATAGAGTTAACCTCAGCGATACCACTTAATGTTTATGTGGGGCAGTAGAAAATGTACATCACTATTTCTATACATGTCCATATTACTCAACTGTAAGAAATCACCTGGTAAGAAATCTTCAGTAATCAAGATCTCACTTTTGAACAAAACAGTAAAACATTTGCCTATGTTTGTAAGTACATTAAGGATACAAACCATTTCTAGTAGTCTTAATTACAACAATTACATCATGTTCGAAGAACAATTTTTCTTTATCTGTGTGAAAACTTCGGTTAATTCTCTATGAGTAGTTCGGGGTACAGAGAAACAGTTGTCAACAACATAATTATTAAATTTTAAAAAGAAAATTAAAAGATTTGAAATGTACATGTTAAGACAGCTATGATGAAAGTGAATGTATTTAAGTTAGGAGAGGGCTTAATTAGGTTGTAAGAACTTGTGCCCAATCCTTTTTGTCATTTTCAAGGCAATACAAATATGTTTAAACCAAACATTTTTATCTTCCAATGTTCAAAAATGAATTTACATGTATATAAATTCTTAGCTGATTTTAAGAATTCAGTTCTTCTATATCATCACTGCAAATGATTTGTTTTATTACTTTGATGAATATTACTTTTGTATCTCCAATATTAACTTATTAAATTTTTTTTATGAGCTGTGAAATTTAAGATTTTAATATTGCTTGCAGCTGAAGGGGACCCTATTTGATTATGTGAAGACTTTGATGAAGGTGATGCCAAATGTTTGTCGTTTACTTCGCTACGACTATGGATCACCAGGTGGGTAGCACTCTTTCTTATTGGTTAATGTTTTGAAAGTTTTGATTTGATCTTTAACCAGTCCAGTCTATATATATAATCATTACCCTTTTTGGGATGAGAGAAGACAGACTTGGCCCGAGGGGAAAGATGTTAAGAAGAGGCTCATTTCTGTTTCACTTCCGAAATGGAGAATATTTATCTTTCACGCATTCCTGAAAGTGGGGGATAACCTTTTTTAAATCCTTAAAAAGTAAGGAATGAATATCTTTCTCTTACCCCTAAAAACAGCTGCAAAAATTGAATTCATGTAGTTGAATTGTGTTTTTTTTCAAAAGTTAGTAGCTTGTTGTTCAGTTCGGGTGAATATATTAACAGTATTTGAATCACTTTTGTGTTCATATGCTTCACTGGTCATTTGTCTGATGAACATTACTGGGTTCATATCGTACTAGTCATCGCAACGTTACACATAAAAATGACCTTTTAAAATGTTGCTGTGATCCTAATTTTGATGTGGTTGGATGCTACAGGTGTGATGGGGTACTATCAGGCCCAGCTCAACGACCTGATCCAGTACCCAGACCTGAGGACGGAAGTGTTCCAGAGTTTCCGGGAAGTTGGCAATGCAGTGCTCTTCTGTATGTTGATAGAACAGTGTCTGGTATGTGCTGATTTTAATAATTTGAACATCAATCCCTGAACTTTATCCTCAGAAATTTACATATCTATGAAAACAATACAAAACATCTTCAGAACGAATTCGTGTTTACTTTAATAGAGTTGTTTTCATTGTTTAAAAAATTACTTTCATTATTCAAACTTTTTACCTCTAACTTGGGCCAAATGATCAATTTGATATGAAAAAAACAATTAACAAATATAAATAAATCAAAAAAAAAATCTCAGTTTAATCTTCAACCCCCCTTATTGACATCTGTGTGATTTCCAGTGTTGTCATCCTTGATACTCCAGGGTTTACACTCACTTTCACTCTCTGCATCCCAAGGCTATGTCATAGCAAAATTGAAGGCACATGGCTAGTTATTTGATTGATCTTGGGGTTAAAAACCTGACCAATCGCTGGGCTGATACCTGTTCTGTAAAAATTACAGAGGAGCGACACTTGACATCAAAGTTAGTCAATTTCACCGTTACCCAACCAACAGATTCTTTTGATGTACATGTTCATCAAAGGATCAAACTAGTCTTTTCGTCTCAGCCACAAGGTGGCGCACACTGAGCCTTCGATTTTGCTATGACATATACCAGGGCCCATACTCATGAAACCGTTCTTATACTCAAGCATGGATTTTGTGCTCAAGCCTAATTTCTTGTTCCGGTTATAAATAAATAAACAAATCTTATTTTGTCAATGATTTGGAAAACAATTGAAGAGCTTAAAGCCTGTTACTTTTTTCAATGTTTACATTTGACTTTTTTGATTGTTTGACATGATTTAAGTGAGTTACAAGAAAGCTGGTTGAAGCACAAAATCCATGCATGAGCATGAGAATGGTTTCATCAATACAGGCCAAGGATTGCAGATGGCGAATGTTGCGCAACCCCTGGAGTATCAAGGATGTTGTGTTGTATAATGTGTAAGAGAGAGACTTTAAATATTTCAGACACAAGAAGAAGTTTGTGACCTGAAACATGCTGCTCCTTTCCAGAACATCATACCCAAACCATATATTCCTATCAAAGGTGAGCTTCATCTGGTCAGTTAAGCAGAAAATACTTGCCATTGGCTTCATCATCCATTCTTTACTTTCATTTCTATAATATAGAATACATATGCATGTTTGCTGTCATTGATGGCTATGCTACATTTTCTGTGGGAAATTACATGAAGATATTTATCGCTTGGTTATATGACTCATAAATGATCAAAATGGAATACAATACTGAATCCTGTATTTGTAAAATAACAAATATAACATTGACTCATAACTCATGGTTTTTAGAGGGGGACAACAGAAAGGAAAAGGAGCAGGAACTTAAAATGATGATGAAGAGACTGGAAGCCAAATATGCTGCTCTCCAAGTGGTACCAGTCATCTCAAAACTGGGAAATAGTCAGGTAAGTAACCTTATGATACTGGTGAGTTTGATGATGGGGAGTAGTCAGGTAAGTAACCCTATGATACTGGTGAGTTTGATGATGGGGAGTAGTCAGTTTGTCATCTTGATGCTGGGGAATACTACAGTCGGTGATCTCTGGAAAATAGCCTTTATGACTGAACCAAGCAACCAAGTATATCTTAGAATATTGAATCTAGCATGCTTTTTCAATTCAGTCCACTATTGCTTTAAAGGATATAGTGAGAGATCAGAGAGAACTTGAGAAGATATTTGAATTGTATGTTTGGCTATTTGAAGACAGTTAATTGTTTCTGTGAGGAGATATTTATGAATTTTGTCTACCATTATTTTGAATGACAGCAAAGTGAGATTGCGGCTGAAGGAGACCTGTTGACCCGAGAAAGGCTCTGCTGTGGACTGTCCATGTTTGAGATTGTGCTGACAAGGATCCGTACTTTCATAGAGGATCCACTTTGGGTCGGACAGCAACCAGCAAATGGTGTGATGAATATTGATGAATGTACCGAGTTCCACAGATTATGGAGTGCAGTCCAGTTTGTGTTCTGTATCCCAGTAGGGGACAATGAGTACACCATAGAGTGAGTAGTCAATTTAACCGTACACGACTTTACTGTATACCATTCAGAAAGGGAAAATGTACACAAAGATATTTGAAGTACCAGGGCTAGAAATTAATTTTCAAATCTACTAGTCAGTCGGGCTAGTAGTTTTCAATTTTACTAGTCCATGTGCAAATTCCTCAAGCCAAATATTATTCAACATGATGAGAAATATCAAATTTTGACATGTCAATCAGGCACTTAGAACCACTAGTCCATCAAGAGATTTCATTAGTCTCAGACTATCAGGCTACCCTTGTTTTCTACCTACCCCTGCAGTACCAAGGATCACTCCAATGTTTTGTAGATCACAACACCAATATCTACAAATTGATTAGGAAATGTTTGATAACCCCCTCTTGGGAGGGAGGGGGGTAATTAGTACAGGTATTTGATTTTTGTCTGTGAATCTCTGTGTGCATGCTTGTTTCCTTCAGGAGTAAAAAGCTTGTGGACAAGATATCTCAAGAACCACTGAACACATGTATTTCATATTTAATTCATAGTATGGCAATATCAAGTTCTAAACCTTATTGGATTTTGGTGGTCATCGGTTAAGGTTAAAAAGAGTCAAAGGTTCCAGTCAAATGTTACACTTACCACTTTTGAAGTAAAAAGCAGAAGCAGAAGATCATAATCTTTGTTAACATACTATGGTGTTATCAAAAAACACAAACCCTTCAACATATTTATTTTATATTTACACCATAGTATGTTAACAATGATTTTTTTATTTTTTTTGGAAAAAAACCACACCAAAAAACACCAAAAAACAATGAGTTCTACACCTGATTAGATTTCGGTGGTCATCTTTCATAGTTAAAGGACCAAAGATTATGATCATAAGCAATGCAAGTTTGGTTTGGGGGGGGGGATCATTGTGAGCCTCTGTTAACTTTGATTTATCGGGTGAAACATACCAGGCTTATGGGTCCTGTAACATAATAGCTGAAGAATAAGCTACAGGGTTGTGATCTGTCTAGGTGTCGATGACAATTGACACTTAGGTCATACTGTAGGTATCGGTGAAACGATTTCACAGAGAAACCTTTCTGTTACAGAGAGCTGTATGGCGAGGGTCTGAACTGGGCAGGATGTGCCCTCATCATTCTCCTCAACCAGCAGAGAAGGTTTGAGGCTCTCGACTTCAGCTACCATATCCTCAAGGTCAACAGGGTCGACATGAAGGATGAAAATGTCAAGGGTATTGTAAGTACATGTAGCTCACATCCTCCGAGATTCCTGCAAAAACAGAGTCCTGAGATTTGCCACTCAAATTTCTAGGAACATTTCGTGTGACCATATGAAATATATGTACTACATTTAAAAAGTTTTGTCAGTCATTCTGTAAATTGGAAATCAGAAAATTGATGGTTAAGATAATCTTAATTTTTTAATTTTTTAATACATATACTAAGCTGGATTCTAGTGAAATTAAAGAACTACAATATTCCTTTTTTTGACCTTTTATTTGATCCATTAGTACCTCGTTAACTCTTATATAAATGTTCAGGATATTATCATATATATATATATATCTTTGTGATCAACAGTAAGAAAATATGAATTTATATTTTTTCTTTTACAGCAATTAAAGAAGATGGTGGACAGAATTAGAAAATTCCAAATATTGAACAATCAAATATTTGCTGTGTTGAACAAATACTTAAAGACCAATGACTCAGACAGTATTCCTGTAGAGCATGTGAGATGTTTCCAACCTCCAATCCACCAGTCTCTAGCCACAACAATATAACAGGACAGCACCAGGACTGTTCACCAAAGCCTGGCACTTCACAGGATACAGTCAGAAGTGTACCAGCTGTTGTGTTATCATTGTGTATTGGTCCATCAGTCACACAGCATCACTGTTACAGATATAGATTTACTTATATCCCAGTGTCAAAGAATTATGTTCGGATGATGGACTTAGCATTCATTTAACCAAAGCTTTAAAAAAAGACTCGAGTAAAATGCTTAGAGACAATTGGATTGGATGCAAGTTGTGACTCTGGATTATCTTTGTATCTGTTGGAGAGTTTGTGTGACAGATCCGTGCTTGCAATCTCCAGTAGTATATATACCCAATGTAACTTTTATAAAGGGGTAACTTTGGTGTTAGGTTTATAACAGCAGGGCCACTTACAGATATCAGCATGTGAGATTGAATCCTGAGGCAAACCTATAACCACAGTGCATTTATAATATTAAAGTGCAGTGAATATAGTGGTGATACACATGTACATGTGTCGTGAAATAACTGGTTTTTACACTCTATTTTCAACGTTCAGCTGTCTTCCATACATACAATTAAAAGGTTTCCTGTATTACTGGGTACAGCACAACACAAATTGTTTGCCGCAGTTTAAGTATTGCTTTTTTTGCCATTTATAATATTAAAGGGTGAATATATCATGACAGGAAATAATAGTCCACGGAACACAATATATACAGCGGTAGTAACATGTGAAGGGCAGAACGTACACTGGTAGAATATGAATTATACAGGTGAAGGTCACAAGATTCCTGGTATACAGACAGCATGTACTGCTATGTTAAAATTGCATGATATGTGCTGGTCGGTACCTGTAGATTCTGGAAGCATTATTTCAACAATAAACAGGAATGTAATATTTCCAAGATAAATATATAACTTTAAGAACTGTTTGAGTCCTATGGCGTGTCTAACAAACAAGCATAGCTACCTGTGTACTGTATTAACATGGTTAAATTATAGTCTAGGATGTCTGGTTGTCGGTATTAAGAGATTTGTGTGTATTGTTTTATAAAGTTTTGCTTCAGTCACATATGACAGAATTTTATTTAAAGACAGAATTTTTTTCATGTAATTAGTTACATGTATTTAGTGATTTTAGCAAATGTTGACTTGCATCTGACAACAGTTTTATAGGATTGTTTCAAATATGTGAATCAACGGTAGGAGAACTGGAAGTGAAGAGATTTTGTTTGTCCCACTCCTGCCTGATACAACAAATAGTACTCAAACACATTAAACTTAGCTCTCATATACTTTGTTTGAAATGCTCATATAATGCAAACAGGGGCTGTTTTTCCAGCCCGTTAAATAAGCTCTAGGATTGATCTAGGAGGTGTAGTACTACACAGCTAAATATAATCTCTCGAACTGCATAATGTCATTCTTTTTAATCTCCACTTCCATTGTCTCCATAATTATTTCTAATCTCTTTCTACTGAGTATTTATTGAATCTCATCTGTAGAACATGAACATTTTTGATATCATATTACAATAATTTCTTTAAGATAATTATTATGCCAATATAAATGAGAATGTGACAGTATAACGAGACGTGCAGTGTTATCCTTAAGCCCTAGTTGTAATAATTTGTTATATCAGTTATATACACACGCTCTGCAGTGTAATAACATAATAATGAAATAACATGGTAATTTTGGTGACATCACAATGAACCTTATGATGACCTCACAAATTTATGGTAATAGCAAAACTCTAATGGTGCTTTTTTTTGTAAATTTTCCATTCTAAATAACCATATATGGGCATTTGACATGCATTGATTGAATAAATGATAAAAAATCTTTAACTCACTTCCATAACATTTCATTTTTATGCAACTCACTAAAGAGTGCTAAAGAAAACCATATACAATGTACATGTGTCAAGTATATATATATATATATATATCAATCTTCCATCTTCTTGAAAACACCAACAAATATTCATACATGTTATTATCCCTTTTGAATTCTATATCAGTATGATTAAATTTATTCTGAATACCCTGGACTGTAAGTTACATCTCATAAGATGTCAACTCGAGATTGGGATATGTGTTTTAAGCATAGAAGTCTCTTTAACCCTTTCAACCCTATGTAACTTTAATAGACTATACCATGCATTGATCCAGATGAGTCCATTATGATCTACAGTGGTGAAAGGGTTAAGAACATTTACCAGAGTCCGAGTTCTGAAGCTCTGAAACAAGTGAATCTGCCACCAGTGAACATGAAGTACTGTCAACAAACCAGACAAACGTTAGGTTTGAATTAAAGGGAAAGTGTTATTGATAGATGTGAAAAATACATCTAACATGTATGTTACTTGTTTACAGTAGGGTCCCTATGATTTACCTTTTACATTATATGTGTCAAAATGGGAAGAATGCTCTGAACAGAATTATCATCATATTTAAAGAATCATGTGTATCCGGAATTTCCTAATTCTTCAGAAACTTTTATTCAGTCAATCGTATGCAGTAATAATAATCTTAAATTCATTATCCTGGCTGTTTTATATAGTTCACCATTAAAGTAAGGCCTGATCGTTTGAGTGCTTTTTATATCACGAAAATGTCTGACAGATTCACATGTAAATATATTAAATGAAACAGACATTTTATGTATTGTGCAATACAAGTTCTACAAAGCTGGAGTGACATGTTACAAACTTTGTAAAATATTGATATAGAAGTAATTGTTTATTAATATGTAAACAAAACTCAATAAATTATAGATAAAAAATCTTGTAGCTTATTTGGGCTTTACGTCTTTGCAATAGCTAAGGTAAAATATATTTTTGGTTTGTTTGTATTTTACATCCTATTAACAGCTATGGTCATTTAAGGACGTGCCAGGTTATGGTGGTGGAGTAAAGCTGGAGCACCCGGAGAAATTAATCGACCTACAGCCAGTACCTGGTAACTGCCCCACGTAAGCCTAGAACCCGCCACCCAGTGGTGGAGGGCTAGTGGTAGCAGAATGTCAGATGCCTTAATATAACCACTCGACCACTGTGACCCCTTCATAAATGTCCACAGCGTCCACTGATAGAGGGGTCATTCATTGGATACTTTAAAGTGTTAACCACTAAAGGATGAAGTTTTAGATGTCCAATCTGCTGACAAAACGAGCCAGTTGATGGATGGTTGGTAGACAAAGTGGATAACGCACTCGCCTCACAGAAAGATGATCAGGGTTAGGTTCACGATCGTATGTGAACATGTATATGGTCACTTATATGTTTTCTTCAGGTACATTTAATTGATTTTTCTTCCACTTTAAGACCCTTTGCATGCTTCAATCTGTTGGTTAGTATAAGTTAATGAAACTTGTTTCCTAATTATTGTAAAATATATACAGTTGAATGCGGCATTCACACAGTGCCGATTATGGCTCCCGTTTGAGATCAGACAGCGCTACAACATGAAAAACGAAAAAGTCGCATTACTATCCTCAATGATCTAGAATGTCCTATCATTGTCTAAACGCAGTCGTATACGTTCGTAACAGAGTCCTACGGATCGGGAATGGTCCGGAGAGGTCGGTCAAGCACTCCAGACAGTTAGGTGCGTCCCGTAACATTCGGGAAACTCAGCCGATTTTATCTAGTCTGATTACAATCGTGACTATGTCGTGACAGAATCTACTGTATTGGATCAAAATCGTAACAATATCCTGTGTCGTCTGGACGGTGTCTTGATGGTGTCCAGTGGATCGGACGCTGTCGTGATGAACGGGCAAGTTTTGGAGACATTTTTCATTGCTGTTCTTGCCGATTAAGTCCAGATTGCGTCATGATCTTGCATAATGCGTCGGTTCACTGTCCGGTCACTGTCTGATCTCTGACAGATCGCGTTCGGCAGATTCGGGACGCTGTCTGGACACATTCGGTCGTTTTTTACCATGCGGAAGATACAAATTGGATAAGATTCGGATTGAGAACGGGAGAATCGGGACAAATTTGTCTGGAAACAGCTGAACTGGTACGCTCCCTGAACAATATCTGATTGTTGTCGTGATTAAATAAATGAATTCACAAATTTGTGATTTCCCACCAAGATTCAAAGGATCTTGATCAGACTTTTGACAAGTTTTAATCGGGAGTGGTCCTATCAAGGACCTCAGTAAAAATCCTGAATGTGTGACTGAGGCTTAAACATATAGGATGATGTATGTGACAGTAGTGCTACATTATCCAGAATGTCAAGCATTGAAAGTTTCCATCAAATATCTTTTATGTTGTCTGCTGTGTTCATGGGAATACCTGATCCATTACTAGGTTGAAAAGCAATTATTGATTAGATCATAAATCTGAGTGCAGTTACCTACAGTGCAGGGTGAAATTACTGCTTGATAATGCTGACAATTTGAACAGGTATATTGTATGGTCATGCTAGAGGTTTTTCTCGGTATTAGCTGAAAATAATTTGTGCACATTATGATGTTCATCAGTGTCATTGCAGCTGTCCCACACCGTGAAGCCTGCCAGCTGCTCATCATAGGATACTGTCTGTTGTACATGTAACCCATCTTAAAATGTTATAAAACTTTTATTTGTATCAGACAAGTGGGTATAAACTTGTCAGTTGTTGCCCTCAATAGTTTTATGTTGATGACTTGCTCCAACCTGTGGGATTTTGATGATGAAATACTTTCTCAGGAATTTCTTTTTCCTACCAGATCAATATGGAATTACTGTAATATATATTAGGTTTGAGCCTTGTTTGATTCTTATGTCTGACCCAGGTGTTGTATGATTCCTATGTCTGACCCAGGGGTTGTATGATTCTTATGTCTGACACAGGTGTTGTATGATTCCTATGTCTGACCCGGTTCTGTATGATTCTTATGTCTGCCCCAGGTGTTGTATGATTCTTATATCTGACCCAGGTGTTGTAAGATTCTTATGTCTGACCAAGGTGTTGTTTGATTCTTATGTCTGACACAGGTGTTGTATGATTCTTATATCTGACCCAGGTGTTGTATGACACTTATGTCTGACCCAGGCGTTGTATGATCCTTATGTCTGGCCCAGGTGTTGTAGGATTCTTATGTCTGACCCAGGTGTTGTATGATCCTTATGTCTGACCAGGTGTTGTATGATTCCTATGTCTGACCAGGTTCTGTATGATTCTTATGTCTGACCAGGTGTTGTAGGATCCTAATGTCTGACCCAGGTGTTGCCTGATCCTTATGTCTGACCCAGGTGTTGTATGATTCCTATGTCTGACCCAGGTGTTGTATGATTCCTATGTCTGACCCAGGTGTTGTATGATTCTTATGTCTGACCCAGGTGTTGTATGATTCTTATGTCTGACCCAGGTGTTGTATGATTCTTATGTCTGACCCAGGTGTTGTATGATCCTTATGTCTGACCCAGGTTCTGTATGATTCTTATGTCTGACCAGGTTCTGTATGATTCTTATGTCTGACCAGGTGTTGTAGGATCCTTATGTCTGACCCAGGTGTTGTATGATCCTTGTCTGACCCAGGTGTTGTATGATTCTTATGTCTGACCCAGGTGTTGTATGATTCCTATGTCTGACCCAGGTGTTGTATGATTCTTATGTCTGACCCAGGTGTTGTATGATTCTTATGTCTGACCCAGGTGTTGTATGATTCTTATGTCTGACCCAGGTGTTGTATGATTCTTATGTCTGACCCAGGTGTTGTATGATTCTTATGTCTGACCCAGGTGTTGTATGATTCTTATGTCTGACCCAGGTGTTGTATGATTCTTATGTCTGACCCAGGTGTTGTATGATTCTTATGTCTGACCCAGGTGTTGTATGATTCTTATGTCTGACCCAGGTGTTGTATGATTCTTATGTCTGACCCAGGTGTTGTATGATTCTTATGTCTGACCCAGGTGTTGTATGATTCTTATGTCTGACCCAGGTGTTGTATGATTCTTATGTCTGACCCAGGTGTTGTATGATTCTTATGTCTGACCCAGGTGTTGTATGATTCTTATGTCTGACCCAGGTGTTGTATGATTCTTATGTCTGACCCAGGTGTTGTATGATTCTTATGTCTGACCCAGGTGTTGTATGATTCTTATGTCTGACCCAGGTGTTGTATGATTCTTATGTCTGACCCAGGTGTTGTATGATTCTTATGTCTGACCCAGGTGTTGTATGATTCTTATGTCTGACCCAGGTGTTGTATGATTCTTATGTCTGACCCAGGTGTTGTATGATTCTTATGTCTGACCCAGGTGTTGTATGATTCTTATGTCTGACCCAGGTGTTGTATGATTCTTATGTCTGACCCAGGTGTTGTATGATTCTTATGTCTGACCCAGGTGTTGTATGATTCTTATGTCTGACCCAGGTGTTGTATGATTCTTATGTCTGACCCAGGTGTTGTATGATTCTTATGTCTGACCCAGGTGTTGTATGATTCTTATGTCTGACCCAGGTGTTGTATGATTCTTATGTCTGACCCAGGTGTTGTATGATTCTTATGTCTGACCCAGGTGTTGTATGATTCTTATGTCTGACCCAGGTGTTGTATGATTCTTATGTCTGACCCAGGTGTTGTATGATTCTTATGTCTGACCCAGGTGTTGTATGATTCTTATGTCTGACCCAGGTGTTGTATGATTCTTATGTCTGACCCAGGTGTTGTATGATTCTTATGTCTGACCCAGGTGTTGTATGATTCTTATGTCTGACCCAGGTGTTGTATGATTCTTATGTCTGACCCAGGTGTTGTATGATTCCTATGTCTGACCCAGGTGTTGTATGATTCTTATGTCTGACCCAGGTGTTGTATGATTCTTATGTCTGACCCAGGTGTTGTATGATTCTTATGTCTGACCCAGGTGTTGTATGATTCTTATGTCTGACCCAGGTGTTGTATGATTCTTATGTCTGACCCAGGTGTTGTATGATTCTTATGTCTGACCCAGGTGTTGTATGATTCTTATGTCTGACCCAGGTGTTGTATGATTCTTATGTCTGACCCAGGTGTTGTATGATTCTTATGTCTGACCCAGGTGTTGTATGATTCTTATGTCTGACCCAGGTGTTGTATGATTCTTATGTCTGACCCAGGTGTTGTATGATTCTTATGTCTGACCCAGGTGTTGTATGATTCTTATGTCTGACCCAGGTGTTGTATGATTCTTATGTCTGACCCAGGTGTTGTATGATTCTTATGTCTGACCCAGGTGTTGTATGATTCTTATGTCTGACCCAGGTGTTGTATGATCCTTATGTCTGACCCAGGTGTTGTATGATTCTTATGTCTGACCCAGGTGTTGTATGATTCCTATGTCTGACCCAGGTGTTGTATGATTCTTATGTCTGACCCAGGTGTTGTATGATTCTTATGTCTGACCCAGGTGTTGTATGATTCTTATGTCTGACCCAGGTGTTGTATGATTCTTATGTCTGACCCAGGTGTTGTATGATTCTTATGTCTGACCCAGGTGTTGTATGATTCTTATGTCTGACCCAGGTGTTGTATGATTCTTATGTCTGACCCAGGTGTTGTATGATTCTTATGTCTGACCCAGGTGTTGTATGATTCTTATGTCTGACCCAGGTGTTGTATGATTCTTATGTCTGACCCAGGTGTTGTATGATTCTTATGTCTGACCCAGGTGTTGTATGATTCTTATGTCTGACCCAGGTGTTGTATGATTCTTATGTCTGACCCAGGTGTTGTATGATTCTTATGTCTGACCCAGGTGTTGTATGATTCTTATGTCTGACCCAGGTGTTGTATGATTCTTATGTCTGACCCAGGTGTTGTATGATTCT